TACACCATTGGGGAATATAAATAAAAATATAATGTTCATTTGTGGGATTAACAGAATTCAAAAACCACTGAACTAATTGACACCAAATTTGGACACAAGACACCTAACAACCCAATGTATGTCCTTCACTCAAAAAAAAATGATTTTATCATTTGGAAGTTGTAGTTGCTGGGATTCATAGTTCACCTACAATCAAAGAGCATTCTGAACCCCACCAACGATGGAATTGAACCAAACTTGGCACACAGTTCTCCCATGACCAACAGAAAATACTGGAAGGGTTTGGTGGACAGTGTCCTTTGGTTTTGGAGTTGTAGTTCACCTACATCCAGTGATCACTATGCACTCAAACAATGATGGATCTGGACCAAACTCTACGCGAATACTCAATATGCCCAAAAATGGACACTGGTGGAGTTTGGGGAAAATAGAATCCTGACATTTGGGAGTTGTAGTGCTGGGATTTATAGTTCACCTACAATTACAGAGCATTCTGAACCCCACCAATGATAGAATTGGGCCAACTCTCCCACACAGAACCCCCATGTGGGCCACAGCAATGTGTGGCAGGGGACGGCTAGTCTATATAAACAAAAATGTAATGTTCATTTGTGAGATTAACGCAACTCAAAAACTACTGGGCGAATTGACACCAAATTTAGACACAATAAACCTATCAGCCAATGAGTGACCATCACCCATTAACACCCCCCACACACGCACACACACCAAAAAAAAAAGCAGCAGAAAGGACTTAACAACCCAAAAAAGCTAAATGACAATACTGATGCAGATGCCCGGCTTACTAACCGTGGAGTACAACCATGGGATGTACCTCTCTCAAGCACTGCCTTTGAGCCCAACTCTTTTCCAGCCTATGTCTAGAGGGAAGGAATGAAGGAGGAAAAAGGGGAAAGATGGAGGAAAGGAAAGAGGGACTGAAGGAAAAAAGCAGAGAAGCAAGCAAGGAATGAAAGAGGTAGAGAAATAAGAAAGGAGGAAAAGGGAGGAAAAGAAAAGGGGGGTACGCAGGAAAGAGGTAGAGAAGGAAGGAAAGAAAAAAGAAAGAAGGAAGGAAGGAAAGAGAAAGGGATGGAAGGAAAGATGGAGAGAAAGCTGGAATGTGTCCAGAGGAGGGCGACTAAAATGATCAAAAATCTGGAGAACACACCCTATGAGGAGTGGCTTAAGGAGCTGGGCATGTTTAGCCTGAAGAAGAGAAGGCTGAGAGGAGATATGATAGCCATGTATAAATATGTGAGAGGAAGCCACAGGGAGGAGGGAGCAAGCTTGTTTTCTGCTTCCCTGGAGATTATAACGCGGAAAAATGGCTTCAAACTACAAGAGAGGAGATTCCATCTGAACATGAGGAAGAACTTCCTGACTGTGAGAGCCGTTCAGCAGTGGAACTCTCTGTCCCGGAGCGTGGTGGAGGCTCCTTCTTTGGAAGCTTTTAAACAGGGGCTGGATGGCCATCTGTCAGGGGTGATTTGAATGCAATATTCCTGCTTCTTGGCAGGGGGTTGGACTGGATGGCCCATGAGGTCTCTTCCAACTCTTTGATTCTATGAAAGAGGGAAGGAAGGAAAGAAGGAAGGAAGGAAGGAAGGAAGGAAGGAAGGAAGGAAGGAAGGAAGGAAGGAAGGAGAGAGAAGGAAGGATAGAACCAAAGAGCAAAAGAAGGAAGGAAGGAGGTAGAGAAGGAAAAAGGAGAAGGGAAAGAAAAGGGGGAAGGAAGGAAAGAGGGAGGGAAAGAAGAAAGGAGGAAAAGAAAGAAAGAAAAAGAGAGAAAGAGGGAAGATTGGCCACAGCAACGTGTGGCAGGTACAGCTAGTAGTATAATATACTGGAATTGCATAGAATAATGGCTGGAATCCTCTAATACAGTGCATTATTTAACTTTACATAATACTTATTTATGTGGCAAAGATGCTAAGAAAGCCTGTTACTACTGTTACAGTCATCAGCATTGGGTTCTCATACACATTGGCCCTCCAAGACATGTCCTAACGCACAATGGGATTAAATATACAACAAAACTGATGCACATTCATCCCAATGTACATTGATAAATTATCTGGTTCCACTACATAGTAACAGTATAGCAGCCTTTGGATACAAACACTACAAAACTGTCCAATTCTAATTCCCACAGATATAAATCCGCTTATGAAGACATACATTGCTAACAAGATTCCAGCCAATCACTTTTAAATGTCAGTATTGATACAGCAAATGGTAGTCTGTGTCAAGTAATGCTACAAGCTGAAATGTTGACCTTGGCAGCAGGAGGACAAGACCATGAATGCAGAGGCCATACAGGACATAAAGCATGGGAGGAATAGTCTGCCCTTAGACAACAGGTTTTGTCAGCCTTCCCTTGACACAACTGACCAACCCCAGGAAATGAACAACCGCTAGCCTATTGCACAAGCCCTTTTTGTTCCCTTCCTGCAGCACATGAGCCGAGGGAGCCTTAGTTTAGAAGAGAGTAGTTTCTTTACATAGTTCTGGCTTTAATCCAAGTACGTAATACAGTTTTCAGGGCCAACTGTATATCCATTGCATCCTAATGTTTCTCTGCCTTACTAGAAATGGGATGTTTACAATGCTCTTCACTGCCATCTCTTTAGAGGGAATTCCAAATGCAAACATGTACAAAACTGAAAGAGTATACAGGCAGTCCCCAAGTTATAAACAAGATAGGCTCACAAGGCTTGTTCTTAAGTTGAATATGTGTGCAAGTTGGAACGGGTACATTTTGAAGTATATATTTGGCTGGAGTTACACTTAAAAAATGTACCTGTTATGACATTCAAACATTTTGTTTGTGTGTATGTGTGTGTGTGTGTGTGTGAGAGAGAGGGGGAGCTTTGGATAGCATAGGGAAGGGTTAATAATAATAATAATAATAATAATAATAATAATAATAATACTTTATTTATACCCCGCCACCATCTCCCCAAGGGACTCGGAGCGGCTTACATGAGGCCAAGCCCAACAACACATCAGTAAAAACAACAAGCAATAAACAAATAAACAATACAATTAATATAACTCACATATAGACAATAACACACAAAGATTCAAAAACCTATGGCTGGGCCAGATGTAATAGTTAAAATTTTAAAAATAAACGCTGGGCATGAACAGAGGTAGGATGTATCCAGTAGGAGGGTTTTAAACAAAATGTAGGGAGAGCAACCCAACAGGTAATTAAAGCGCTTCTCAGGATATTTTGCAGGGGATGTTTCCTTTATTCAGGGAAGGCACACTGGAACACCCCTGTGGTGTTTGTTTTGCTTTCTGTGTCCCTGTTCAGAATATTTCATCTCATTTTCTGTCACTGTGAGAATTGGATATTGAATAATTTGGATTTTTGTGGTGATAAAGCTTCAGTGGAAACACCATTTCCCCATTATCGCTCTTTCAGTAGTGAATTTCCCTTACGGGGTAGATTTCTCTCACTTCCTGTGGTCTCACATCTGTTCTTATCTATGAGTTGTTTCTTACTTTGTAACTTGGGAACTGCCAGTAGTTGACAACATTTCATTCACCCATTTCATTCCATGTTTAATGTCATATTATTGTTAAAAGACCTCTCGTCGATGTTTCTGAAACCTGCCCAAGGCTTTTATAATAGAGATTTAAAAAACACTTCAACATAGATGGACAAGAGCCCGGCACAATCATAAAGGCAGGAAGCAGAATCTGAGGCACTGATTGCACTGGACAACACACATTTTGGTGCCTTAAATTTTAGCCCTGTTTCTGGGTATATCTGACCTGCCGATTCCAAAAATGGCACCGGTTTCCCCTATTGGCACTTATTTTTATTTATTTTTTACCTGAAAGACCAAGATGTACGGAACTCCATTTTTCTTTATGAAACGTTGTGCTGCAATAAACGTACCAGTTTGTTGGGTTGTTGTAGGTTTTCCGGGCTATATGGCCGTGTTTTAGAGGCATTTTCTCCTGACGTTTCGCCTGCATCTATGGCAAGCATCCTCAGAGGTAGTGAGGTCTGTTGGAACTAGGAAAAGGGGTTTATATATCTGTGAAATGACCAGGGTGGGACAAAGGACTCTTGTCTGCTGGAGCTAGGTGTGAATGTTTCAACTGACCACCTTGATTAGCATATAATGGTCTGACAGAGCCTGGATCAGTTGAAACATTCACACCTAGATGGATTAGGGATCAGCTGGTTTTCCCTGTAATAGGCAGTAAGAGTACCTAGAGCTTCAGAGAGCTTCTGTTCAACCATCTCAAAGCTCCCTGCTTGAGCGGTAATGGCACGATCATCAGCATAGATGAACCTTCTGGCAGTGGCTGGTCATTTGTGTAGATGTTGAACATGGATGGAGCGAGCACGCTCCCCTGAGGCAGGCCGTTCTTCTGTTTCTGCCATCTGCTTCTCTGGCCCTGGAACTCAACAAAAAAGCTCCTGTTTTGTGGCAGGTTTCCTATGAGGCAGGTGACATGGTACTCCTTCGGGATACTATACATTTTTCTCAGGAGGAGGCGGTGGTTTACGGTATCATAAGATGCCAACAGGTCTATGAAGACAGCTTCAGTGATCCGCTGCCTTTCAAATGCCATTGTTGTTGCCCGTTTTTGCTCAAAAGATATTTAGCCACCTGCGCTCCTTCTATTTTTATTGGTTTTATACTAATTTATGCCATGCTTTTGACATGAAATAAATAAATAAAGATTGTGCTTTAAAATTTTCAGTGACAGTGCAACAGAAAGAACTTGAAATAGAAAAAAAGGGGCCCTTTAGAGATACTCTAGAAGTAGGGAGAGTGGGAAAGGCAGCCCGGCTTCCTCTTCGGAATCCCTTTTGGAGGGAGAGGCGCCTCTGAGGTAAATAAACAACACCAAGCCCTGCTTCCAGTCCTTCCCAGCCGCGGTCTGGGGCGCGTTTCTGATTGGCCGCAGGGAGGCCGGCGCGTGGTCCCTATTGTGGTCCTGATTGGTCCCTGCCCCTTTCGCCACGTGACGCCCCGGCGTTCTTCCCCGTCTCCTAGCAACCGCGATGGACCGCGAGGAGGAAGGGCGCGAATACCTGGCGCAGCACAAAATCCCGGACCTCCTGCACACCTTGACCGCCTTGCTGCTCTTCCACCGCCCAGGTAACCAATACAGCAGGCCTGGGCGAACTTCCGCCCTCCAAGTGTTTGGGACTTCACCTCCCACCATTCCAAATAGCCTCAGGCCCTCTTCTTTCCCCCCTCAGCTTAAGAGAAGTTTGCCCATGCCAGCCCCACATGAAAGGAAACCTCCATACTGTATTGCAGATGGGAAGCATGAGGGCGGTGCTTGCAGCTGCACAAGGATATAGAGTGGGTCATGGGGACTGTGTGTGTCAAGTTTGGTCTTTATCGGTCATTGGACGAGGTTCGCAATGGTCTCAGGAAGTGAGTGAAGGTACTGCAAATCCCATCATCCATGATCCACCCTACTTAGAACTGCACCAGGATGTAGAGTGGGTCACATCTGCTCTGTGTGCCAAGTTTGGGCCTGGTTTGTGATTTGTAGGGGCCACAGTGTTCGGTGGGAAATGAATCAGGTGAATGTACTGCAAATCCCATCATCCATGGGCCATCCTGCCCTAAACCACACCAGGTTGTAAAGTGGGTCATTGGGCCTCAAGTTTGCTCCTGATCCGTCATTGGTGTGAGCCACAGTGCTCTAAGGAAGTGAGTTAAAGTACTGCAAGTCCCATCATCCCTGGGCCATCCCCCCTCAAACTACACCAGGATGTAGAGTGGGTCATGGGGGCTCCATGTGTCAAGTTTGGTCTTTATTGGTCATTGGATGAGGTTCACAATGGTCTCAGGAAGTGAGTGAAGGTACTGCAAATCCCATCATCCATGATCCACCCTACTTAGAACTGCACCAGGATGTAGAGTGGGTCACATCTGCTCTGTGTGCCAAGTTTGGTCCTGGTTTGTGATTTGTAAGGGGCATAGTGTTCTGTGGGAAATGAATCGGGTGAAAGTACTGCAAACCCCATCATCCGTGGGCCATCTTGCCCTAAACCACACCAGGTTGTAAAGTGGGCCATTGGGCCTCTGTGTGTCAAATTTGGTCCTGATCCACCATTGGTGTGGGTCACAATGCTCTAAGGAAGTGAGTTAAAGTACTGCAAGTCCCATCATCCCTGGGCCATCCCCCCTCAAACTACACCAGGATGTAGAGTGGGTCATTGGAATGCTGTGTGTCCAGTTTGGTCTTTATCGGTCATTGGATGAGGTTCGCAATGGTCTCAGGAAGTGAGTGAAGGTACTGCAAATCCCATCATCCATTGCCCATCCCCCTTAGAACTGCACCAGGATGTAGAGTGCGTCACGTGTGCACAGTGTGCCAAGTTTGGGCCAGGTCTGTGATTTGTAGGGGCCATAGTGTCAGGGGTGGCTCAATCCATTACGCAAAGTAAGCATTTGCAGTATAGTTGGTTTTGCCCAGAGGCGCTCTTGAGGTGCTCTTGGGGGAAAATAGACCTTGACATATGCGAGTTGTAGTTACTGGGATGTATAGTTCACCTACAATCAAAGAGCATTCTGAACTCCACCAATGATGGAATTGAACCAAATATGGCACACAGAACTCCCACGACGAACAGAAAATATATATCAGTGATTGATTGGGGGGGGGGGGGCAAAATACTGTTTGCTTACCGTTGAAAATTACCTAGGGCCGCCTCTGCATAGTGTTCTGTGGAAAATGAATCGGTGAAGGTACTGCAAATCCCATCATCCGTGGGCCATCCTGCCCTAAACCGCACCAGGTTGTAAAGTGGGCCATTAGGCCTCTGTGTCAAGTTTGGTCCTAGAATCAGAGTTGGAAGAGACCTCATGGGCCATCCAGTCCAACCCCCTGCCAAGAAGCGGGAATATTGCATTCAAAGCACCCCTGACAGATGGCCATCCAGCCTCTGCTTAAAAGCTTCCAAAGAAGGAGCCTCCACCACACTCCGGGGCAGAGAGTTCCACTGCTGAACGGCTCTCTACAGTCAGGAAGTTCTTCCTCATGTTCAGATGGAATCTCCTCTCTTGTAGTTTGAAGCCATTGTTCCGCGTCCTAGTCTCCAGGGAAGCAGAAAACAAGCTTGCTCCCTCCTCCCTGTGACTTCCTCTCACATATTTATACATGGCTATCATATCTCCTCTCAGCCTTCTCTTCTTCAGGCTAAACATGCCCAGCTCCTTAAGCCCTCCTCATAGGGCTTGTTCTCCAGACCCTTGATCATTTTAGTCACCCTCCTCTGGACACATTCCAGCTTGTCAATATCTCTCTTGAATTGTGGTGCCCAGAATTGGACACAATATTCCAGGTGTGGTCTAACCAAAGCAGAATAGAGGGGTAGCATTACTTCTCTAGATCTAGACACTATGCTCCTATTGATGCAGGCCAAAATCCCATTGGCTTTTTTTGACACCACATGACATTGTTGGCTCATATTTAACTTGTTGTCCACGAGGACTCCAAGATCTTTTTCACATGTACTGCTCTCAAGCCAGGCGTTCCCCATTCTGTATCTTTGCATTTCGTTTTTTCTGCCTAAGTGGAGTACCTTGCATTTGTCACTGTTGAACTTCATTTTGTTAGTTTTGGCCCATCTCTCTAGTCCAGGGTTTCTCAACCTGGGGGTCGGGACCCCTGAGGGGGTCGTGAGTGGGTGTCAGAGGGGTCGCCAAAGACCATCAGAAAACACAGTATTTTCTGTTAGTCATGGGGGTTTGGCTCAATTCTATTGTTGGTGAGGTTCAGGATGCTTTTTTACTCTAGGTGAACTATACATCCCAGCAACCACAACTCCCAAAGGGCAAGGTCTATTTTCCCCAAACTCCATCTGTGTTCATATTTGGGCATATGGAATATTCATGCCAAATTTGATCAGTGTTTGAGTCCACAGTGCTCTCTGGATGTTGATGAACTACAACTCCCAAACTCAAGGTCAATGTCCACCAAACCCTTCCAGTATTTTCTGTTGGTCATGGGAGGTCTGCGTGCCAAGTTTGGTTCAATTCTATCCTTGGTGGAGTTCAGAATGCTCCTTGATTGTAGGTGAACCATAAATCCCAGCCACTACAACTCCCAAATGACAACATCAACCTCCCCCAACCCCACCAGTATTCAAATTTGGGCATATCGGGTATTTGTACCAAATTTGGTCCAGTGAATGAAAATAAATCCAGCATATCAGATATTTGCATTACGATTCATAACAGTAGCAAAATTACAGTTCTGAAGTAGCAATGAAAATAATTTTATGGTTGGGGGTCACCACAACATGAGGAACTGTATTAAGGGGTCGCGGCATGTGGAAGGTTGAGAACTACTGCTCTAGTCTGTCAAGATCGTTTTGACTCCTGCTCCTGTCCTCTGGAGTATTGGCTATCCCCCCAATTTGGTGTCATCTGCAAACTTGATGATCATGCCTTCTAACCCTTCATCTAAGTCATTAATAAAGATGTTGAACATCTGATCCGTCATTGGTGTGGGCCACAGTGCTCTAAGGAAGTGAGTTAAAGTACTCCAAGTCCCATCATCCATGAGCCATCCTCCCTCAAACTGCACCAGGATATAGAGTGGGTCATGGGGGCTGTGTGTGCCAAGTTTGGTCTTGTTCTGTCATTGTTGGGAGCCATTGTTGTGGTCTGTGGGAACTGAAGCGTTTGAAGGTACTACAAATTTATTACTTAATTATTTCCTATAATCTGTTGCCCGTCCTCCCCCAAACCTCACCAGGAAGTAAAGGGGATTATGGGACTGGCCACTGTCCCTATGCGCAACCCAGCCGTTGTTCTTGCCTTGCAGACAGGCCCAGGGAGTTCTTGATCAGAACCCTGGAGAAAATAAAGCTGGCAAAGCTGACCAATTCGGAGTATCCCTGCCTTATGGATGACTCGAACCTGGATGCCATGTTTGGGATGCTCGACGTGGAAGGCAGAGGCTCCATCAATATGGCGCAGTACAAAGGAGGTGGGTGTTGATTTTGTTTTTATCCGATCATCTTCTTGTTCGAGATACGGTATTTCCCAAAGGCACTGTTGCCTCTGTTAACTGCCAAGTCGGACTTCAAAGGAACTACAGGGAGGTGCGTTTGCGGCCTAACAAAAGCATCATACGATGCTAGCGTCATAAAAGCAACCACAGTACAATCAAAATATTAAAAATTAAAACAACAATTCAAACAATTAATTAAGACACATCCATTAAAATCAAAATCCAAAAAAGCAGTCCAGGTCAATTCATTGCCAGAAGTTGTATGATCTTCTTCCACTTGCTGCTCACTGATCAAAAGCTTGGTCCTATAACCAGGTCTTGATTTTCCTTCTAAAAGACAAGATGGAGGTGGCCAATCTGATATCTCTAGGGAGGGCATTCCATAGGCGGGGGGCCACTGCTGAGAAGGCCCTGTCTCTCGTCCCCATCAACCGTGTTTGTGATAGTGGTGGGATCGAGAGCAGGGCCTCCTCTGACAATCTTAAGCTTTGTGATGGTTCGTAACAGGAGATACGTTCGGACAGGTAGTCTGAGCCAGAACCATTTAGGGCAGTGGTTCTCAACCTGGGGTCCCCAGATGTTTTTGACCTACAACTCCCAGAAATCCCAGCTAGTTTACCAGCTGTTAAGATTTCTGGGAGTTGTAGGCCAAAAACATCTGGGGACCCCAGGTTGAGAACCACTGGTTTAGGGCTTGAAAGGTTAAAACCAGCACTTTGAATTGCGATCGGAAGCTGATCGGTAGCCAGTGGAGTTGGCGTAACAAAGGAGTTGTATATTCCTTGTACGTCACTCCGGTGAGCAACCTGGCTGCCAGCCGTTGGATTAGTTGAAGCTTCTGGGCAGTCTTCAAAGGCAGCCCCACATAGAGTACATTGCAGTAGTCTATTCGGGATGTAACAAGAGCATGGACCACCGTGGCCAAGTCAGACTTCTCAAGGAATGGGCGCAGCGCACAAATACCTTTTCTGGTTCAGCAATGAGTCATTTTCCAGACCATTCATTAATCTGTATTTTCATTTCCCTTTTCCAATAGTTTGCAATTAATAATCTAGCTGCTGTTAATAGCATGTCTATTATTATTATTTCCTCTTATCTTTCCCATTCTCTTTTTAAATTAAAAGTAATATTTCTACTGGATTCCTCCTAATTTTTATATCCATAATATTTTCTGTTTCCATTATAACCAATTCCCAAAAATCTTTTACATATTTGCAATCTCACCACATATGCATATAGGTTCCAATTTCTTGGCACCCTCGCCAACATTTTTCATTATTATTCTTATGTTTAACCTTCTCAGTGTTAAATACCATTTCCAAATTAATTTATAATAATTTTATTTTTTCTAATTGACGTTTTTGTCTTGCTTTCCCTATCTCTTAATGTTAGTCTTTTCTTTTTCCCTGTGTCTTTAATTAGTATTTTATATATTTTACTAAATCATGCGTATTTGAATGCAAGATCTGCCAAATACACAACGAAATTCGATTCGATTTTGAAGGTATGGGTGAATGACAAGGAAGGTCCCCTGTTCTAATCTTGCTACACATAATTGTAAATTCAGTGAATATAGAGTACAAATCCCATATCCACAGGTGAAATATTTCAAGAACCTGCATGGATACTTCAAAGTGTAGATAATACTGACCTCTTTATTTTGACTACACTTGGGCCAGAAGAATACCATAGAATAGCACTGGAGGACGTAGAAAGGCCCACAAACACATTTGGGAGAGAATGTATTTGGGAGCATAGATAATGCACTACACATTCATCACTTGGTTGTTGTAGGTTTTTTCGGGCTATAAGGCCATGTTCTAGAGGCATTCTCTCCTGACGTTTCGCCTGCATCTTTGGAAGCAACAGCAAAACAACAGAGAGGAAACAATCAAGGACATCTAATCACCTCTCAACAAAAGATTGCCCCAGGCACTGCCAGGCCATCAAATGCTGATCAAGGTGGTCAGCTGAAACATTCACACCTAGCTCCAACAGACAAGAATTTTTTTGTCCCATCCTGGTCATTCCACAGATATATAAACCCATTTTCGTAGTTCTAACAGACCTCACTACATCTGAGGATGCTTGCCATAGATGCAAGCAAAACATCAGGAGAGAATGCCTCTAGAACATTGCCTTATAGCCCGAAAAAACCTACAACAATCCAGTGATTCCGGCCATGAAAGCCTTCGACAATACATTCATCACTTGTTGGGCAGAATTCCTTTCCAGTGGTGTTGTATAAAACCAACAGTGAACAACAACATTAGCTGCCCCAGCTGTGTCTGTTGAATAGGGATAATTGTGATATACACTAGCAACACCTAGGATCCAAGGTTGAGACCACTAATGTAAACAGAACCAAGAAGGTGAGGCAAATTCCTAAGAAATTTAATGCTGTTAGTAGAAAAATTTGTAAGATTCTTTCATTTCCCTAATATTTTAGCACTTGAAGCATTGGGACTAAGTAGTACGGATGAACCCTATGAAGAAACGGACTTAATTACACAAATCGTCTTTAAGGAAAATGTGTAAGTTGAACTGGAATGTTTCTTAACTCTTGAATGTTATTAATGCATTACATATCAATTAATATCAACATATCTGCATTTTTCCTACACTCGCTTTCCCTCTGCACATAGCTACGCTTCACTGTCTTCCTTCCACACTGTTAGAGGAATTTTCCTAAAATCCAGTGCCTGCTGGATTTTAGGGATCTCAAAAGCTGAGTATTTTGCCAGCAATTTCACACTGCTGTGCTCAGCTGTCTTAGCCAGTAGTGCCTACGGTCAGTCACCAAAATTCTGCTTTTCATTTTACAGTGGTCAATATTTGTAGGATATCCAATTAGTTCTTCCAAAAACCAGTTTATAAGCTGGCCTTTACTATAAGCATGTTAGAGGTCAAGTGATTAATTTTAAAAGGAATTTATGTTACTGGAGGTTGTTACTATTGTTGCTCTATGCCAGGGATGCTCAAACATTTTAAATAGAGGGCCAGATCACAGTCCCTCAAACTGTTTGGGGGCCAGATTATAATTTGTAAAAAAGCATAAATGCCTATGCACACGGCACATATCTTATTTGTAGCGCAAAAAACACTTAAAAACAACACAATAATTAAAATGAAGAACAGTTTTAACAAATATAAACTTAGTATTTCAATGGGAGGTGTGAGTCTGCTTTTGGCTGATGAAATTTAATTGTTGTTATTGGTGTGTGTGTGCTTTCAAGTCATTTCAGACTTAGGTTGATCCTGAGCGAGGGCCAGGTAAATGATCTTGGAGGGCTACATCCGGCCCCCGGGCCTTAGTTTGAGGACCTCTGCTCTATGCCTTCAAATTGGGGTTTTCTGAGGCTGGGTGTGTGACTTGCTCGAGGTCACCCAATCTACTCCCATGTTTAAACACAGAATAGAGCCCTAGTCTGCAGAATTGTAGGCCAACACTCAAACTACAACACTATACTAGCTCTCAGCAGGAGCCATAGTCACAGGGAAACTACGCTATATGAAGGTAAAGAAGCAAAAGATGCTTTGAAAAACAATTCAACACAAAACACAAGTATGGAGTCAAAAAAAACTACTTTGCAGAAGTTTCTTCATGTCTCCCTCTTGGGACATTCACCTCAGCTCCTGACTTGCCCTTTATGTATTATCATTATTATTATTATTATTATTATTATTATTATTATTATTATCTTTATTTATACCCCACCACCATCTCCCCAATAGGGCCTCGGAGTGGCTTACATGGGGCCAAGCCCGGACAACATATTACAGCAATAAAATCAAAACATAAACAACAAATAACAACATCATCAAAATGTAGCATTTTAGGGAACTAGAGGGGCTGCTAAGGGAGGAAAGGGCCAGCATATTTATGTCCACCAGATCTGCTGAAATGTGCCTGCATTTGATCACGAGTCAGAATACATTTAAATATTAACCTGTAATGTTGTTTTAAAAAATGAAGAGGGGTGTTTCCTTGATCAATACGATTGAAGACACCGTGTTCAGCCTTCTGCACTATTTATGAATACTAGTTTGTATATACTCATTTTGGTTCTCTGTCTATCTAACAGGATGAAAAAATTCGCAGAAATGTGGGCAGCTTTTTGATCTCAAATTTGCTGATGCTGAACCAATTCTGATTTTACCTTCTGAAAAATTATTGCACGTAACGATTGTCTCTGGCTGTGTCAATTATATTGCCATTGTGCAAAATATGGAATTTCATCTTTCCTTCATCAAAGTTAAGTTTTTATATAAACTTTTGTGAAATAAATGCCGATCACCTTATAAGCAAAACTCAAGATGTTTTAGTCCATTTTATTCCAATGAAACCAACTTATCCTTTGTTCATTTACTTCTGCCCATCATGAAGGCTTAGACATATATCCATCCTGTTTTTTCATCTATAAACCAAGATAGTAGGTTTTTCTGCCAACTCCTTTTTTTAATGCAAAGGGTTTCTTTTGTTTTCCACATTATATTGTAGTTTTCCAAATCAAAACATTTTGGATTTCCTGCAAAATCACTACTATCAATTGTCTACATTAGCAGTGTTAGCCTGGTTACCAAAATCAATATATTAATCCATTATGTAGAACTGTCTAGGTGGAATGTCATCCATACATTTTACCTGTTACTATGTCAGCAAAGCTGCAATAGTTCAACCTTGTGAAACCTACAAAGATGACAGTCTTGATAGGAGATCACTGTGGATTTGTCAGAGATGTAACTGACTAGATTTGTTCTCAAATAACATGAAGAATTAATCTTGATGACACAAGGACAAACAAGGGAAAACAACCTTTGCTCACACTAAAAATGCAATCCCCCAGATTTTCAAAACAAGCCTCACCTGCTCCTTTCATGGTCCATCCCTATCATATGGGGAATGTGTCATAACGTCTGTTGAAAAGAGTTCCCCTTATTACAAGGACTCAACTGAGCACCCCAGTGGCTCTTGACAAGAGTACCTGCCAAGTTAAATATATTATCCACCTCAATATCAACTTGTCTTTGCCAGTTTAAAAGTGCTCTTTCAAACTATGGGATATAAACAACAGGAGCCCCCGGTGGCGTAGTGGGTTAAACCCCTTTGCCGGCAGGACTGAAGACCAACAGGTCGCAGGTTCAAATCTGGGGAAAGGCGGATGAGCTCCCTCTATCAACTCCAGCTCCTCATGCGGGGACATGAGAGAAGCCTCCCACAAGGATGGTAAAACATCAAATCATCCAGGCGTCCCCTGGGCAACGTCCTTGCAGACGGCCCAATTCTCTCACACCAGAAGCGACTTGCAGTTTCTCAAGTCGCTCCTGACACGACAAAAAACAAAACAAACAAACAACTGATTCTTCTTGGCTTAAAAATCAATTTTACATACTAAATGTAACACCCTAAATAACTGAAAAACATACAAAAGTTTGGATTTGTTTTCTCACAGAATACAATACTGATTAGTGTCTCGCCAACCTATTATTTTTGCTTATTTCCCAGTACTAGGCCAATTTGTTCTCAGATTAAGAAGAATCTCCACATCCTGTTGAGCTAACTTGTAGATTCCAAGTTCATTTAATGCTGCTACAGCTGTAGGCTGATTTGAACTCAAGATCGTTCCACTTCGGTTGTCAGCAGCCGATTGTAGCACATCCTTCAACAGCAGGGCTGAGCCGACATTTAAGTTCAGTACAATACAAGCTTCCTTTATACTGTGGAGGGAAAAAAAGTTGTGTTTAAGATGGTGGAAGAGCCACAGAACCTTTACAGGAGTGGATCTTCAAGTTTGTCTTCCAAACACATGAACATCATCTATCTATCTATCTATCTATCTATCTATCTATCTATCTATCATATCATGAGCAAACCAAACAGTTGTATTGCATTTTTAACAAACAAACAAACAAAACAAAACACAAAGAACATCATAACGTTTAGTAAGCCATCTTTGAAATAGAAGGGGGGAAAGTCAAAATAGATTTTCCTTTGGGGAGGAAAGGTATCAGCTTATTCACCTCATTCACCAAAATCCCCTGACATTCTGTGCAGTATGCTACATACATCTACTGTCCGAAGGCCTGGTCCCAGAACCATGATTTTAATTTTTTTCTAAAAGCCAGGCGGGAGGGAGCGGATCTTACCTCATTTGGGAGTGTGTTCCATAGGCGGGGGGACAGCCGAGAAGGCCCTGTCTCTTGTCCCCGCCAGACGTATTTGTACTGTTGATGGGGCCTCCCTGGATGATCTTAGATTACAAGATGGGACATAGGGGTGGATGCGTTTGGACAAGTAAGCTGGGCCAGAACCATATAGAGGTTTAATGAAGAATTGAAAGAGGAGGGTCACAGGAGGAAAAGAGATGTCTCAAAGTGGTGGGGCAGCAGAGAAGCCCCAATCCATTCCTATATGTGGCCCCTTGGGAACCAAAAGAGTGTGCTTCCCTAATTTAAAGATTTTGTGCTAAAAAAAGGGGGGGGGGAAGGCCCACACTATAACTCATTCCTTTTTTCATTTAAAAAACAAGTTCTCCAATTAATGTGAGTTATGCTTACTTACTGTTTAAAATAATTCTCTGGTCGCTTGCAGTAATGTGAAAATAAAGGGAAAAGGTTCCTGGTCATATCAAACTGGAGCTGCGCAGCCCCTCCTTCGTTGAAGTGATTGGCCAAAATTATCTACAAGAAGTAGATGGGTAACAGGGGAATTATTTAACATTTTGTGAACATGTTTATTATTAAGCACTACTGACACAAGACTTACTTCCTGATAGATGAACAAATCCACCTTTTCTGCAAGCATTTGCCAGAAGATTTTGAACAATGAGTAACAAAGCTGCTGCTCAAGTTGTAGCAGCCGGTCTCTCAAGGTGAGCAGGAGTGAGCAGGCGGTGACTGACAAAGACATTACTGCCTGTTCTGACTGAGACGGCAAAGACAGCCACCTAAAAGAAGAAGAAAATTATCACTACAAAGTACCTACATTTCCAACTTGCAGTTTCTCTGTCATTTGGAATGAGATGTCTCACTTGAGCTAGGAACCTATGCTCTTCCTCTGTGTCTGACTCAAGTCAATTGGAGAAGAGCATATCTGGCTAGCAAGCCTAGATGAAAATCTGGCTGGAACAAGGAAGAACGAAGATAGATTTGTTTATTGATAAGTCCACTAACCATATCAACAATAAAAGACAAAAAACAAAAATATACAGACAAATAGACACTAATCACTATGCTAAAACTCCTGTGATAGTTAACTAAAGCAAATTAAAGCATGATAAAACTTGATTACATAATACATTTGGTAAAATTGGATTGAATTACGAGATGAAAGAAGGGGGAGTAGAGTGACAAGTGTAAAAGACGTATCGTAACAGATTCAGAATAAATGATTTAGAACAGGGGTCCTCAAACTATGGCCCGCGGGCCGGATACGGCCCTCCAAGGTCATTTACCCGGCCCTCACTCAGGGTCAACCTAAATCTGAAATGACTTGAAAGCACACAAGAATAACAACAACAACTATCCTATCTCATCAGCCAAAAGCAGAGCCACACTTCCCACTGAAATACTAATAAGTTTATATTTGTTAAAATTGTTCTTCATTATAATTATTGTATTGTTTTTAAGTGTTTTTGCACTACAAATAAAATATGTGCAGTGTGCATAGGAATTCATTCATTTTTTTCCAAATTATAATCCGGCCCTCCAACAGTTTGAGGGACTGTGACCTGGCCCTCTGTTTAAAAAGTTTGAGGACCCTTGATTTAGAACATAAGTGCAATTGTGATAGATTTGAAAATAATGATATACAAAAGTCTATTTAATCCTCTCGTTGACTTTTCAGGCAGTTCTCAAAAGTATCCCAAAGCATTACATTTTGCGGGCAAATGCTCACAATTTTTAAGAGAAAAGGTGATTCAGAGATCTTTTTTCCACTTAATGTGAGATGCATGGTAACCATCCAAACCACACAGAGATGTTCTCCATGTGATAAACAGTTGTTTCTAAACTACAGATGGGGAAACTATCTTACTAATTACACTATGTAGCAACATTTGGAAATTTTTCTGTTTCTGGTTTGAAAGTGTTATTTCCTATTTAGTTGCATAGGACTTGCTTTGAAAGTAGTTGTTATTCTCCAGAAACTCCATCAATATTTAACATTTACACAAATGATCAGCCACTGCCAGAAGGAACAGTGAATTTCATCTAGGCTGACGATCGTGCCATCACTGCTCAAACAAGGAGCATTGAAATGGTTGAACAGAAGCTCTCTGGAGCTCTGGGTCAGTGGTTCTCAACTTTCCTAATGTCACAACCCCTTAATACAGTTCCTCATTTTGTGGTGACCTACAATCATCCATCAGGAAGTAGAAGCCAGTACTCAAAGGACCAAGGCAGTGATTTCTCTGGCCCATCCTCTGTTCGGATATCAGCAAGCATGCCAATGCCTTAAAGCAAGAATCAGCTTCTTAAGATCTACAGAGATACTCACAGGAACACCTCAGAAAGCGAGAGTCCAAAAATGGCAGGTAAAAACCCAGAACCTCAATCCCAGAACCTTACCCTATAAACTCTTTCAGAAAGAAATGCATTAGGCTATACTGTTTATATATTAATTTTCTTGCTTTTCCCACTCCTCTCTTCCAAACTATATGAATGAAAAGTTTGGTGTAAGAAGAAAATAAACTTTACCTTTCTTTTCGGTACATTTTGACTGCATCTTTGACTTCTCGGAAGACATGATCGACTTGACGAGTGAGCATATCATGCTTTAGGCGCTCCAGAAGGTTAATCATATCATCAAAGACAGAGCTTTCCATTGAAGCCAGTTGTCCAAGCTGTAGTATACTCAGTGCACTGCTATCAGAACAAACTTCCAATGCAGCCTGTTGAAGCTGCAAGAAGAACTATAGGGACATGGAAATCCAGGTGTAAAGATTACCACTACCAAGTGTTATACATTTACAAGTTGCTTAAATAGCTCCAGTTTGGGTCCCTTAGAATTAGAGTAGTTTGATGTTAGGAAAATTTGTAAGTACTGTTCTTTGGTGGCAGACTGTAGGTCAGTGCTAGAGAACATGCATTAAATGCAATAGCTCCCAGGTTCAACCACCACGTCCAGTTTCAACTAAGGACTGAGTGGGCTGATATGAGAGTGAGTCAAAACTTGTCAAGGTAGACCAGGACTAAAAAACTGCATTTAATTTAATTTATTTACTTACAGTATTTATATCCCGCTTTTCTCACTCCTAGGGGGACTCAAAGCAGTTTACACATAGATACTGGCAAAAATTCAATGCCTTACAACTACAATAGTAAAACCACACTTTAAACATAAATCATATTAAAAACAGTACATCACCAAATATCAAAACAGTTATTAAAACCATAAAAAAATCTCATCAGTCAAGTCGCCGTTCCAGTCCTTGTCCCACTAAAAGCCGCATACATCTATTGTCCGAAGGCCTGGTCCCAGAACCATGATTTTTTTTTTCTAAAGGTCAGGAGTGAGGGAGCAGATCTTACTTCCTTTGGGAGTGTGTTCCATGGGCGGGGGGGGGGGGCACAGCTGAGAAGGCCCTGCTCCTTGTCCCCGGCAGCCGCATTTGCGCTGTTGACGGGACGCTGTTGATGATCTAAAATTGCGAGGTGGGATGTTGGGGCAGATGCATTCTGACAGGTAAGCTGGGCCCGAATCGTATAGAGCTTTATAGGTCAAAACCAGCATTCTGAATTGGTCTTGGAGATGGACTGGCAGCCAGTGGAGCTGGCATAACGGGGGTTATGCCCCCCTGTTATGCATTATGTTTTTCCTGCTGAAAATCACATCCTCTTGGATATGATCTGTAATCTTGTGTCTTGGCCAAAGCCAACCTCTTCCTCCATAACAAGCCACACCATTGTTTTCACTTTCTCTATTCATTTTCTTAAAGAGTGAATAAATAGAGAAGTGATATCATCATATGCACCACCTAACCATCTACACTTCTCCCAGCTGTCTACCCAGCTAAATACACACACACACACACAAGTCTGCTGTCTTTGCTATGCAAGTAGAAAGCCACCTCGACTGAGGAAGAACACCTCTGAAAGCACAGATCTTTCCTCAGCCATGTGGCAGCCATGTATTTCTCACATTTAGATGCTGAACAAGATGAACTTGATAAACTCTGATTGATCTCTATAAAACCAAGATAGCCAGGGCATTAGACACGATCTCCCCTGAACATCCCCTCTCGTGCATAGTTAATCCAACTCCTTGGTTTTCTGAGGAGCTGGCATCGATGAAGTGCTCAAGATGGAGACTTTGGTAGAAAACTCAGAGTGTCTCCGATTGAGCACGGGCTAGAGGCTCTATTAAGGCCTACTCCATGGCTTTAAGGACAGCCAGGAAGGCTTCCTCAACTGCCTGCATTGCATCTGCAACCAACAGACCAGCTGAGTTGTTTCAGGTTGCTGGGGAGCTCCTTCCCCCCCCCCCCCCCCCCGTGTGGAGGAAGGGCCTCTTGCCAATCCAGCTACGCAATGCAGCGAGTTCGCATATCATTTTGCAGACAAAGTCCGCTCCGACTTGGACGCCAACTTTCATACAGTACTAGGTGAGGTAACCGAAGCAACTGTCAGTTCAATCTTACTGGATTTGTTTGTTTGTGCAGCCTGATGATGTGGACAAAATCCTGGGAGCAGTAAGAGCAACCACATGCGCACTAGATCCTTGCCTTTCATGGCTTATAAAACTTGCTAGAGACGGGTTAGCCAAGTGGTTTTCAAGGACAATAATGCCTCGTTGGAGCAAGGACAAATTCCATCATGCCTAAAACAGGCAATAGTACGACCACTCTCGAAAAAGCCCTCCCTTGACTGAACAACTATTTCAAATCTTCCTTTTCTGGGCAAGGTTCTAGAGCAAGTGGTTGCTTCTCAGCTCCAGGGATTTTTGGACGAAACCGGTTATCTGGATCCATCGCAGTCTGGGTTCAGGCCTGGTCACGGTACCAAGACAGCTTTGGTTGCCTTGGTGGATGACCTCCCTGGAGAACTTGACAAGGGGGGGGGGGGTGTGACCTTGTTGATATCCTTCTGGGGCACCTTGCCAGAATGGGCCTCCTTCGTGGGGCTGCCCCTGAAGACAGCCCGGAAACTGCAATTGTTGCAAAGATCAGCTGCCAGGTTGCTAACTGGAGCAAGTTACAGGAAGCAGTCAACCCCCCTGTTTAAACAGCTCCACTGGCTGCTGATAAGTTTCTGGCCCCAATTTAAGGTGCAGGTTATCACCTATAAAGCTCTAAATGGTTCGGGGCCCACCTATCTTTGTGACCGCATCTTCCCCTATGAGCCCACACGATCTCTAAGATTTTCTGGGGAGGCTCTTCTCTCGCTTCCACTCCAGTCACAGACACGGTTGGTGGGGACAAGAGAGAGGGCCTTCTCGGTGGTGGCCCTCCGGCTATGGAACTCCCTCCCCAAGGAGAGCAGGCTAGCTCCCTCCTCATCCATGCTTTGTAAGGAACTAAAGACGAGGATGTTGCATTTTGCATTTTAATAGGCAATTCCCTGGACAGTTGGCCCTAACCATGGCCTAAAATCTTGTCCCTGCACCTTATTACTGTACTACCCAAAGTCATAGTGAGCCTGTTTATAATTTGCTCTTATCCTTATGCTGCTATATGACTTATGCACTTTATTATTATTATTATTATTATTATTATTATTATTATTATTATTAATAATAATAATAGTGAACTTTATTTATACCCCATCACCATCTCCCCAAATTGTTTATATCTCTCTACGAGTTCTCCCTTACAATGAGTTCTGCCCCCTTATCTCACCCGGGGTTTTTAAAATCATTTTATGTGCATGCGGCCCACCCTCTGTCATTTTGTTATTATGTTTAGTTCCTATGTTCTGTGTATATTGTTTTAGATGCTTTGATGTTTTATTTTAATGTTATGTTGTTTATTTTATTGCAATTTATATTGTTATATTGTAATTCTTGTTCGGGCTTGGCCCCATGTAAGCCGCTCCAAGTCCCCATTGGGGAGATGGTGGCAGGGTACAAATAAAGTCTATTATTATTATCATTATTATTATTATTATTATTATTATTATTATTATTATTATTACATCAGTCTGCCCTCCCACAACGAGACTTGAATTGTACAATTGGTTGTTGATTCTGATGCTCTTCTTCTTCTTAGGTTGTTGTTGTTATTGTTGTTTTATCTTGTTTTTATACCGATGTTTTATATTTTCTACATGTTATGTTTTAACCCATATGCAAGCCGCCCCGAGTCCCTTCAGGGAAATGGAGGCGGGGTATAAAAATAAAGTTGTTGTTGTTGTTATTATTACTATTATTATTATTATTATTATTATTATTATTATTATTATTATGGATGGCTTTTATGTTCACATATTAAAGGTACCGAAAAGCAGAAGTATCTTAACTCTACCAGTGAATATGAAAAGCAGCTCCATATAATTAAATTCAGTTTCAATAATCCACAAATGGCAAAAGTCATGATGGAAAATAACCACTTACAAGGTTGTCAGCCCAGTCTGCTAATACAGTTGCTATGTAGTTGACAGCATTTAGGATTGCACAATACCGGAAAGCTAAAGGTGCTCTGGTCTCTTCTTTCATAACTTGAGTTAGTCGTATCCTGAAGTCATCCACCAACTCTTTCTGCAGTTCTAGGAATTGTAGCTTTCTAGCAGCAGTAGGAAGGTGCTTATACCGATCTGTACAGAAAATTGCAAGATATTTCTTATTTAAATTATTTTATAGTTTGAGGAGATCAAGCTTTTCAACCCAAAATCCATCATGATTAACATGTGTCATGGATTCTGACAGGTGTTTTATATGATAAAAAAATCATCCCCTATAGTTTGCACTGCCAGATCTACATTCTCTTATTTCTCACATTTTGTCATCTCTGCCATATTGGGGAACAATGGCAATAATGGCTAGGAAATTATTTAAGGATATACACATCAGCTTTATTTCTTCCCTCCTTGGCTCAGCTGTTAATCAGTGTGTAAGCCAACTAATGGGAAGGAATACAAAACCATTAAGGCTGAAGACATATAATACAGAAGGAATACAGAACCAATAAAGCTTGGATGACTAATAATAATAATAATAATATGTCTGATGTGTGATCCAATACAACAACCAGCATAGTGATCTTATTTTCTGTGTACTGATCTTGTTGTGTTTCAAATAATCTTTATTTGTGCCCTGCCACAATCTCCCCATAGGGCCTCGGGGAAGCTCACAGAAGCACTCCAAGTGCCACATACAGACAACAATACGTAAGTATAAATACAATGACATAAGAATAAACAATATTGCATAAACATCTCATTAATAAAATTATAGAAATTTGAAAATTACAAAATTCCTAAAATGCACTGCAACCTGCCAGCCGGCTATCTGTCAGAACAATCAATCAAAGTGTGGGCCAGTACTATCAATGATTCAAAGGCCTGTCTGAAGAGCCATGTTTTTAGACTCACCCAGAAGGCCTGAAGAAATGGAGCAAATTTAATTGATATAGAAGCTAGATATCCTGTTTATTAACAAAAGTAATAACAGAGCTTGTGGACCATATAGTATACTATACACTATTGCTAGTAGTTCTGAATCCTATTCTAGACAACTGCAACCCACTAGCTCAACAGTACAGCAGAACTAACATAAAACAAATACATTGGGTCCTATGGATCTGTGGGCTCCAAATCCACAATTTCCACTGATTGTGGATTGTTACATCCCATATTATTAAATGGTGGTAACAAGAATGTGGATATGCTGAAACATATGTGTTCACATCACTGCAATGTAATATGAAGTCTGATCATCTACATTTTTATATCCATACAGTCTTGGAATCCCCACAGATGCAGTAGGCCCACTATATATAGACACTCCTTAAAAGATCAGTCAATCTTTATTCCCACTGAAACTCACAGAATTAAAATTATTTATGATAACTTTTCCCAGTGATTTTAACAATATAGCAATCTTAGTATTGCACTGTGTAGTTGACTTATTCAAGATTTCAATCACTGACGGTGCTTTTTGTTACTAAGAGCAGTATCCCTTTAATGGCCATGCACTCAAAACCTCACAAGTTTATTATTATTATTATTATTATTATTATTATTATTATTATTATTATTATTAATATCCCTACTAGTCGTCCCCTGCCACGTGTTGTGGCCCAGTCTGTATATATGTGTATATGTGTTTGTGTATATATTTGTGAATATGTGTATATATGTGTGTTTGCATATCTATATCAATAAAAATGTAATTTTCATTTGTAGGATTAAAATAACTCAAAAACCACTGGGCGACCTGACACCAAATTTGGACCCAATCCACATATCAGGTCAACGAGTGATCAACACTCATAAAAACACTGAAAAACACAGCAGAAGAGACTTAAAAAGCCAAAAAATAAAAAATACATTACAACGCATGCACAAAACCACACATACACATATATTTTAGATTATACAGACAGTCATTCATCCGATAGTGAATGGTGATACTTGTTTTTATTAATTATAAGCCAAATGTGATTTTATTAATTGTTAATTGTTGTATTTCATCATTCTACTTTCACTTGACTTAGCCGATGGTTTGTTGACCGAAATAAAGGCTACTGACTGACAAACACATATACGCAAACACACATATATACACCTATTCACATACAAAGCACATATACATAGACTGGGCTGTGTATATATGTGTGTGCATATGTGTGTGTATATATGTGTATATATTTGTGTGTTTATGTGTATATGTATATTGTGTATATGTGTGTGCTTGTCTGTATGTATATTTGTGTGTATATATGTGTGTATGTATGTGTGCATGCATATGTATATGTATATATGTGTGTATGTATGTGTGCATGCGAATATAAGTGTATGTGTATGTGTATATATTGTGTATTTTTGGGGGTTTTAAGTCCATTCTACGGGGGCGGGTTGTGTTTTTAGGGGTGATGAACACTCATTGGACTGTTAAGTGTATTGTGTCAAAATTTCGTGTCAATTCGTCCAGTGGTTTCTGAGTTATGGTAATCTCACAAACAAAAATTACATTTTTATATAGATGATGATGATGATGATGATGATTATTATTATGTTTGTTTATATCCCACTTTTTCTCTCCATACAGAGACCCAAAGCAGCTCACAAGTAAAAGCATTATAATACAACTTAAAATATACAAATATACAAATATTAAAATAGTATTAAACATAATTAATGTTAAAAACAATTCAAGTGAAAGCCATAAAAGCATATAAAACCACAGCACCCCCTGTCTAGATCTTAAACACCATCTTTAAACGCTTGTCTGAATAAATAGGATTTAGCCTGAAGGACAGCAGGGAGGGGGTCCATTCTGGCTTCCCTGGGCAGGGAGTTCCAGAGGCACTGAGAAGGAAGGCCCGCTCTCTCGTTCCCATCAACCGAGCTTGAGATGGAGGTGGGATCGAGAGAAGGGCCTCTCCTGAAGATCTCAGAGCCCAGGCAGGTTTGTTCAAGGGGATGCGGTCAGCCAAATAGCCTGAACCTGAACCGTCTCGGGCTTTAAAAGTTTAATATTGTTTAGTATTTTTTAAGTATTTATTTTAACAACAACTGCACTTTAGCAATAACTGCAAAATGTATCCATGCTGACAACTATCCTGTCTCCTATGGATACAAATGCTTGATCAGACTGCTTTTTCAATTATTCACTAAAGTTCAAAAGGAACAAATCAACAGGGGCTACTCTTATTTGTGCCATTCCAGTTCTTCCTGTTATTCCTTTGATGGCAACTCAGCCACTGACATGATGTTGATTTCCTTGTTCAAGATACGCTACAGTTCTTGAATTATTGAAGAATCAAAGCCGAACGGCAGAAATGTTATAATTACCTGTGATAACCAGTAGCAAAGTCATAAAAGTTTCAGCACAGTCTGGGACTTTCATTTCATCTACATCAGTGATATCTTTGTACTGTGATACCCAGGCAGCTTCAGATGAAAGCATGGAGTCCATCTTTTGAAGAGCAACTGTCAAGTACACACAAACAAAAATGTTCTTAAATATTTAAATACTTTTCCACATTAGCAGCCTTGCTATTCAAAGGTGCATTTTTTCTCCAAAGCAAACTGCTACTCTTTTATAAATAAATTTAAAATAAAACATATAACAAACACAGCAATTTCAAGACAAAGGGAACTAGAAGATTTAACAAATATAACAAAGAGGATAAATATGAATATGAGTCTATTAATATATATGCGGATTCCCCCCCCCCCCCCCCAAATGTACCACTACCATCACACTCAGTGCCAAATTGAAAAATGAATGGCAGCACATATCAACCTATCAAAATGTATCAAATCACTTTGGTTCAGGGCTTGGAAAATTGCATGATATAGCAAAATAATGCATTTCCTCAGCACAATTGTTTGATTCTTGTAAATTTTGTTCAGATGGATTTGGAAAAAAACTTCACATGTGCTTATCAGTGCTAAAGCAGTATTGACATATTAAAAGTTAATATCCCATACATAAGCAACAACAGCAACTTAAATCTCATTACTAGTCCCAACTAAAGCTGATCCACTGAATAAAACTTCCTTAAGCAAATTCACAAGGTCTTTATGTGAATACAAACATATTAGCCACAGTTAGTACTAAGGCTTTCATGGCCGGAATCACTGGGTTGTTGTAGGTTTTTGGGGGGTATATGGCCATGCTCTAGAGCAGTGGTTCTCAGCCTTCCTAATGCCACAACCACTTAATACAGTTCCTCATGTTGTGGTGACCCCCCAATCATAAAATTATTTTTGTTGCTATTTTACAACTGTAGTTTTGCTACTGTTATGGATCGTAATGTAAACATCTGATATGCAGGATGTATTTTCATTCACTGAACCAAATTTGGCACAAATACTCTATACACCCAAATTTGAATACTGGTGGGGTTGGGAGGGATTGATATTGTCATTTGGGAGTTATAGTTGCTGGGATTTATAGTTCACCTACAATCAAAGAGCATTCTGAACTCCACCAATGACGGAATTGAACCAAACTTGGCACACAGAACTACCATGACCAACAAAAAGTACTGGTAGGGTTGGGTGGGCAATAACCTTGAGTTTTGGAGTTGTAGTTCACCTACATCCAGAGAGCACTGTGGACTCAACCAATGATGGATTTGACCAAACTTAGCATGAATACTCAATATGCTCAAATGTGAACACTAGTGGAGTTTGGGGAAAATAGATACTGACATTTGGGAGTTATAGTTGCTGAAATTTATAGTTCATATACAACCAAAGAGCATTCTGAGCCCCAGCAATGATAGAATTGGGCCAAACTTTCCACACAGAACCCCTATGGCCAACAGAAAACACTGTATTTTATGATAGTCTTTGGCAACCCCTTTGACAACCTCCTCATGACCCCCCCCCCCAGGGGTCCTAACCGCCAGGTTGAGAAAACCTGCTCTAGGTGCTCTTTCTGACTATTACAGGGAAAACCAGCTGGATAAAGCAAAAGATTTTCTGGGTAAAGCCAAAGACTTATCAGCAGCTCCTCGTACTAGGCTCAGAAACAGAATGGTATCTATTGAAAATAGCAGACTAATGTGATCCAAAACCTGAATAAATACCACAGTCATATTGTTTATGTGATAGATATTCCATTCAAAATATGCAGTATTTTATTGCTTATTCTTAATGTGAAACATAACATTATTTAAATTGTAGATTTATTTATTTCAATACTGTATAATTTATTGTTCTGAAATTCACTGGAAGCTGCCCCAATCTGGTAGAAAGCTAGGATTTAAGTCAAAATGAAATCAATGGAAACCTAAGACTCTATGCAGCTGTGACAAGAATAATAACACTGGCCAATGTCCATTTTGGTGCCTCAAATATTAGCCCTGTTTCTGATTATATTTGACCTGCTAATTCTAAAAATGGCACCACTAGTTGCCATCTGCTCGCTCATAGAAAACAATAACTATATCTAAGAAATTAGAGGTAATGCAGTCTATCCAATGCAGTTTTCCAAATAAGTGCGCCAAACCCCAAGAACAGGCCTAAAAGCCAAGACATCAAACAAAAATTTGTTGGGCTGTGTAATCAGTGATCACTGAAAAAAAAAATGGCAACTACATTTCCCATTTCAAACACAGTTTGAGACAATGTTTCCCCATTCTCTAACTCAAGAACTTTATTATATTCCAATCATCTTATTTCTTAGGGAATCCCAGGGTTAATATAATACAATATATTGTATATACATATAATATTTATAATATTATAATCTAATGCAATATAATACTACTACTAATAATATAATTATATATTTATATTACATATAATATTACTAATAATATTACAACATAATGGTATAGTACAATATAATAATATTTAATACTAATATTGTACTATGCTAATAATATAATATATTGTATGTATATATATCTTGTAAGCCGCCCTGAGTCTTCGGGATGAGAAGGGCGGCATATAAATGTTGTAAATAAATAAATAAACCTTTGTGTTGGCAGGACTGAAGACTGACAGGTCGGAGGTTCGAATTGGGGAGAGCCTGTTGAGCTTCCTTTGTCAGCTCCAGTTCCCCATGTGGGGACATGAGAGAAGACTCCCACAAGGATGGTAAAACATCAAAAAACATCTGGGCATCCCCTGTGCAACATCCTTGCAGATGGCCAATTCTCCCACACCAGAAGCGACTTGAAGTTTCTCAAGTCCCTCCTGACATGAAAAAAAAAAACCCTATTTCCTAAAGCTGTTATAAGTTCCGATTAGATAAATTCCACAATAGCAGCTTACATTTTCTCTCCACAGTTAGCCATCTTTGAAAATAGGTCTCTTCTGATAAAATGTGCATACAGCTGGGAAAGCTGCTGAGATATCCATGAACACTGTGTAGCTCTCTCTCAAACAGAAGTACCTCATCAACCAGGTGGCAGAAGAGGCTGTCATCATACAACAAGCAAGGGATATCAGCAGCCAACTTCTCCAGGATCAGCATCACCAAAGCTCGGGAAAACTCCATCTTAAAGAGAGGTAAAAGGATTAAGATCAAAACAGCAGATACGCATGCATGACTTTGCACCAAGTGGATTAGAAAGGATTCAATTGCTTACCCTTGCACTGACTGGAGAGCCTGCCTTGTCCAATATTGGTTGGACTTTGTCATCAAGAAACTTAGCGTGACTTCCAATCCACATGAGCACCTGGGTTAGGTACCATTCAGGCTTTTGAGGAAGAAAAGAAGAACCTTAATGCATTCAATAAAACCTGCTTGTTGCTACATCAAAGTCACATACTTCTATGCCAATTACATCACCAGGCCCCATGCAAACCTACATCACATTACAATCTGTTGAGCCAGATGTCTTTTAGCAGTCCTCCAGGTTAAATTCGTAAACTATCTAATGGGAAAAGCCTCAAATGTACACTGATCAGGCAAGGCTTTCCAAGAACAAACTAAGAATAAGCTGACAAAGGCAGAAACAACAATAAAATGGCATGCATGTCAATGAAAAACATTTAGAAAAATTACTAAAGTGTAAAAAAAAAGTTTATTTAATACTAGCCATCCCCTGCCACGCATTGCTGTGGCCCAGTCTGTGTATATGTGTTTTGTGGGTGTATATCTGTGTATACGTGTGTGTATATATTTGTGTACTAGCTGTCCCCTGCCACGCGTTGCTGTGGCCCAGTCTGTGTATATGTTTTGTGTGTGTATATATGTGTTTGTGTGTGTGTATATATTTGTGTATATGTGTATATATGTGTGTTTGCATATAGAGAGAGGTAGAGAGATAGATGGGTGTATATGTGTGTGCATATGTGTGTATATATATTTGTGTATATGTGCATATGTGTGTTTGCATATAGATAGAGAGAGAGATGGCTGTATATGTGTGTGCATATGTGTGTGTATATATTTGTGTATATGTGTATATATGTGTGTTTGCATATAGATATATAGAGAGAGATGGGTGTATATGTGTGCGCATGTGTGTGTATATATGTATGTATACGTGTGTATATATTTGTGTATTTCTGTGTTTCAATGTGTATATGTATATTGAGTATATGTGTGTGATTGTGTATATATGTGTGTATGTATGTCTATATGTGTATGTGTGCATGTGTATATTTGTGTGTGCTTATGTATATATATGTGTTCATGTATGTATGTGTGCATGTGTATATGAATGTGAGTGTATGTGTATATGTATATATAGTTTATTAGGGGGGGGGGGGTTAAGTCCATTCTACTGGGTTTTTTGTGTGTTTTAGGGGTGATGGACACTCATTGGCCTGATAGGTGTATTGTGTCCAAATTTGGTGTCAATTTGTCCAGTGGTTTTTGAGTTATGTTAATCCCAGTAACGAACACTTCATTTTTATTTATATAGATATGTGCATATATGTGGTTTTGCACATGTGATGTAATGTATTTCTTTATTATTATTTTTTGCTTTTTAAGTCTCTTCCACTGTGTTTTTCAGAGTGATGGTCACTCGTTGGCCTGAGAGGTGTCTTGTGTCAATTCATCCAATGGTTTTTGAGTTCTGTTAATCCCACAAATGAACATTACATTTTTTATTTATATAGATTGGATGAAATAATTGATTTCAGTAGAATTTTAACAGACATACAACATATCAAATGTGCATTAATAATCCCAGAGCATCTGCACTTAATGGCCAACACACTATAACATGGAAGGAGGTTCACTTCCTCCCAAGTAAGGAGTAGCATATTGTTGGCATATTCTTCCAGGTAGCTCAGTTAGTTAAAGGGTTAGTTCCAACTTGTGCTTTAAATGAAATATCAAAATACAAAGAATAGATAGGAAACATATCAGGGGCCTCAACCTTTATTAATATATCATAGCCGCCTTGAGTCCCCTTCGGGATTGAGAAGGGCAGGATATAAATATAGTAAATAAATAAATAAATAAATTTTAAGAGGTAAGTTTCGTTTTAAAGAAAAGGACTTTGTATGACAATATTGCACCTTGCTTAAAACATTTGTTTGCCTGTTTCCTGTGAAATGATACTTGAATCTTTTTTGAAGAGGAGCCACCATAATCTGCATGGGTAATATAACAGGTGAAGTGGGAGGGAGGAGGTACTTTTCTGGAAGCTGCTTTGGTTTGCTTAATAGTTCATCTCTGAGATCAAGAGTTAAAGGAAAATATCAATACAAATACAGTCTTACGTTTCTATAATCTGCATGTATGGTTGGCTACAAATTTAATTTGGTCCATTGAAATTGATGTAAACATAGTAAGCACTACCTTTCTGCAGACTTCAATCAGACACAGGCTTGGTCAGGGTGCAATTGTGATCTTTAAAAGCTGCTAAGGACTATGCCCCTACTACACCCGAGGTACTAAGAGACACATAAGTAACATAATACCACCAGTGGTGCACTGTTCTATACCAGGAGGTTTTACAACAGCCCTGAAATCTGTAACAGAATTTGGAAGAGTTCTCCTCTCTTACATTCAGCTCCATCTGCATATGCTGAGGAATAACTCAGCAAAACCAACGTTGCCAAAGCATTGCTATTCACAGAAGGGGAAAGAGTTGTCTTTTAAAAAGATTTTCTGTTCCCTCAATTGAAGAAACCGCTGTGATGCACAAAACTGAAGAGTTAAGCTACAGAGCTGGGCTGGAAGCCAGATGGACAAATTCTAGGGGTTGCCATTTGCATATTCCTGTGCTTGTTGTTGTTGTTCATTCGTTCAGTCGTTTCTGACACTTCGTGACCTCATGGACCAGCCCACGCCAGAGCTCCCTGTCGGCCATCACCACCCCCAGCTCCTTCAAGGTCAATCCAGTCACTTCAAGAATACCATCCATCCATCTTGCCCTTGGTCAGCCTCTCTTCCCTTTTCCTTCCATTTTCCCCAGCATAATTGTCTTCTCTAAGCTTTCCTTTCTCCTCATGATGTGGCCAAAGTACTTAATCTTGGCCTCGACTACCCTTCCCTCCAATGAGCATTCAGGCTTTATTTCCTGAAGTATGGACTGGTTGGATCTTCTCCTGTGCTACAGTTTTGAAAAATCATTAATTCTAAAAATCATTTATGTTGATGAGATGAAGCAGGCTCTGTTTGAAAAACAGAGCCCGCAAACTCATATATGTAACCAAAGAACGGATATCTGGGAAGGCCAAAACATCTGGGGACTCACAGGTTAACAACCACTGCCTTAAGTCCAAAACAGTTTGAGAAGCAGGGGAAGGTACCATAAAACTCCGTAAGCCATATAGTGTCCTCTTTGACACTTCAAAGTTGAATTTTCTGATGCAAGCCTCCACAGGACATGACTGTGACAAGAATAGAACTTGTTGCCTCCCTGCTCCCTTCCACAACTCTCCCTCAGAAGACAAAAGCCATGTTATGAGCAAAGAACCTCAGTTGAGAATCTGAGTTTGAAAAGGAAAAGAAAATAGGTATATTCACCTGGCAACACAGCATTTATGAGACCTTCTTCTTTTAAATCTGTTTGGACTTAAAAGTTACAAACTACTGGCAATCCCTTGGTGATTCTAGCAATCCATAATGTCATAAGAAAACCCTATATTTGTTAGGAATTAATGCACATATACACTCAAATAGGAAAAAGGATACGAAGTCTGCAGTTTTAGAAGCTGAGAAAACAGCACCTCAAAGTTATTGTATATCTCTACAGCGTTGTTGGGTGCTCCGGCCAAGCCAAAAGGCTGGGATTGTGCTGGTCCAACAAATGGCCAGTGAAGGTGAGTTAAAGTCTCCTCGAAATCACTGCAATGGAGAGACATATATTATAATCCAGCAACCCAACTGAAAACTAAGAAATAAATAGAAATTGAAAGCAATGCCATTGAAAATTAAACCTTGACAGCCTATCCTTCAGGATCTTGTGCCAGAACTGAACAGTAGACCTTACAAAAGTAAGAAGATGGGAACATGATGATTCCTGAAGCTTGATATCCAATTCAGCCATAGATGCTAAAGTAGTAGCAGCCTCTGGAACATTGTTGGTCATAAGATATTGCTGGATATTGTCACTAAGAAAGAGACACAAAGATGTTGTGTAAAGACTTTGTTGAGAATACATGTTGTTTCAAAATGATGGACCTGATTTGAAATCATCATATCTCTATGACTACATATCCATGAACAAAGCTCTTACCACTTGACAGGGTGGGTCATAGAGTTTCAAATAACTGCTAGATGCTTCTCCCAGCCCACAAACAGCCCCTAGCCTCAGTCATTCCCAAGTTGGTGACCCTGCAACAGATGGCCCAATGAGACAGTTCATTTGCACGGTCATTTTTAGGTTTGTATCTGGTTCAATATGGTCAGCAAAACTTTATAACTCATTAAACTGTTTGTAAATTTGTGTATAATTGTAACATATTACCATCTGGGTCCACCATTTTGAAACATCCTGTATTACGTCTTGAAATTTGCAGTAGATGTGCAAACATGACCAGATATAACAAGGGGAAAGCTCACTATAAAAACAATTTTCATATACAGTGATAAAAAGATTATCTAAATAAGACTGCATTGAAGATTATTGTAAGAATTCTTACACCAGAATAGAATGGAATAGAAATGTGCTTTGAACATTAAATATATAAGATGAGGTACCATGTCAAATTACCCACACAAACTATAGATATTCAGGAATGCCATAAACTACAGTTAGTCCTTAGAATCCATGAATTCAACCACCCCTGGTTTGGAAATATTCAAAATAAATTTTAAAAAGCAAGCCTTGGTTTTACTATTTTATTTAAGGGATATCATTTAACTATGCCATTGTATATAATGAGACTCCACTCCTATTGTGCTTCAGTATTTATATTTATATTTTAAATGTACTAAACGTACCAAGTTCGTATGAAAATGTTATTTTTATTTCCTGTGCTGGTCTACGACTGAAATAAATGATTTGATTTGATTAATGGGACTTGACCATTCACAAATGTTGGTATCCAGGGGAAATTCTGGGATCAAACCCACTCAATAAAGAAACACCTACCTTGCCTACTTTTCTTGAATGTAAGATTTATGGCTATTAACCAAGACATATGTTGTTTCAATTAGTTAATAAATACTAAATCTTTTAACCATGTATAGGTTATTTTCTCAATTTGAGAAAGTACCAGGTAAATCAGCATTAAAATCCTAAAATAAATTATTGTAAAGCTCATATAGTTACACAAAGTGGCCACAATTCAAGGAAGAATTAAACATGTCTAAAACCATGAGTTTCAACAGATATACTAAACGGTGGGTTAAGAATATTTGGTGAGAGTTCTGGAAACAGAGCTTGAGAAATGTGATTTTGGGTCCAACTGATATACATCTATTCAAAGTTTGCTTCAGATCAAAGTTGTAATCCCACTGTATGGGGATTGGCACAGATAAGTAAGACCCTGAGCACAGAGTTTATTCCTCCTGCGTTAACAGCTGGGACTGTAAGCACAAGAGACAGTTCAAAATGACTAACATTCTACTAAGAAGTGGTCTGAGGAGAACTCACAGGGTAGGGGTGACATTCATCTTCTCCATCAGTAGGATTTTTACAATTTTGGCAAGAGTTCCTTTGTATCATGGGACATAAATTTTTGGTAACTCTAACTTTTTGCCCAAAGCATGTCCAATAAATAGGGGCGATTTTTTACCTTAATTCCTCTATTTGTGAAATCCACTTTAAATAAGCAAGGTGCCGTTCAACTTCTTTTACTTGACTGATCAATATACCAAGATCCTCCATCCATGGCTGGGATGTCAACAAATGGCTATTGATTGAACCACACAAAGTATTTTCCTTCTCTAGAAGCTGACTGAGAGACTTCTTAGAATCCTCTGCATTCTGTAAGGCCTTCTGAATCCTTTTGGGAACTTCTGATGAAACTGTAAGTACCTTTATAAATATATATACAGATATGAAAAAGTAACAGGTAGCCACACTTCATAAGGTATTTCCATTACACAGCACAAAACAGTATTACCCTAATATTTTGGTCAATTTCGGACTCAGCATGGCTCTAGGGATTACCGTATATACTCGAGTATAAGACGACCCAAATATAAGCCGAGGCACCTAATTTTACCACAAAAAACTGGGAAAACATATTGACTCGAGTATAAGCCGAGGGTGAGAAATGCAGCCACTACAGGTACATTTCAAAATAAAAATAGATACTAATAAAATTACATTAATTGAGTCATCAGGAGGTGAAATGTTTTTTAATATTTACATAAAACTGTAATTTGAGATAAAACTGCCCAACTCTGATTAAATCATTACATATCTTCAGTGTAAATGTACTTACGTATCCTTCCAACAATAATAAAGAGAGTAAAATAATAAATATAATAATAATAAAGTAAAATAATGGAAATGCAATAATAACAGTAGTAATAGAGTTGAATAATAAATGAAATAATTGAGTAAAATAATAAATGCAATAATAAAGTAAAATAATAAATATTATAATAATCATAAATAGTCTAAATGAATAAATGTAATAATAATAAGGTAAAATACTGTAAATGTAATAATAATAATAATAATAATAAAGTAAAATAATGGAAATGCAATAATAACAGTAATAATAGAGTAGAATAATAAATGTAATAATAAAGTAAAATAATAAATGTAATAATAATAATAGTAATAATAATAATAATAATAGGGTAAAATACTGTAAATGTAATAATAATAAAGAGAGTAAAATAATACATGAAATAAAAATAATACTAATAACAGAGTAAAAATATAATAAATAACCTTGACTCAAGTATAAGGCGAGGGGAGCTTTTTTAACCTAAAAAAGGGGCTGAAAAACTAGGCTTATACTCAAGTATATAGAGTAAGTTATTAGGAAGGGAGCACAGATTTTGACAGTACCTACAAATCTTCCTCTCAAGTAAGATACCAACTCTGAACCTGCATCAAATGCAATGCATCATACAAGCTACGCTTTAATTCACTATTAAACACAGAACAAATGATCTCACCACATGAAACTCCAGATACGGGGTCAATGCAGTGCAAATGAGTGGAAATTGTGTGGTGTACGCAGTGTACATAATGGACTGAATTTAATTTAGGCATGTGCAAATGGACTGGTGAAGAAAAATATCTTTCCCCACAGAACAGCAGCCCTTTCACTCACACACATGCTCCCATTCCATATACAGACAAGATAGGTTCTGTAGACTTGTTCTTAAACTGAATGTGTATGTGAGTCAGAACAGGTATACTTGTTAAGTGTAATTCCACCCTCTATTTATCTATCTATCTAGTTTTGGATAGTACAGGGAAGGATTAACACTCCTGTAACATTTGTTTTGCTACCTGTACCCCTCTTCAGGACATGTCGTCTCACTTTCCGTCCCTGTGACAACAAGATTTGGAAAATTTTGAGTTGTCATGGAGATAGGGATTGGTGATAAAGGTTCAGCAGAGGCACCTTTTCTCATTATGATAATTAATAATAATAATAATAATAATAATAATAATAATAATAATATAAAACTTTATTTATACCCCGCCACCATCTCCCCAAGGGGACTCGGGGTGGCTTACATGAGGCCACGCCCATCAATACAGTAAAACAATGTAACACAAGAACACAACGGAAAATAAGAAAATAAAATAACATAAGATACAAAAACCAATATAAATAGTGCAACAATATTAAATCAAAACATCAAAACACTGAAAATAATCACAGTGGGCAGGGCCAATTGCAAATATTAAAAATTTAAAAACACTGGGTGATAGGGCGATGTAATGTATCAGGACAGGGGATCTGGGGGATAAGATAGGATTTAATTGCATGACCAGAAAATAAAGTGCTTCTGAGGGCATTTTATATAGAGTTTGGTCAGGGGTTATTGTACATTCAATCACTGAAGGCAAACTGGAACTGCCAGGTTTTCAGGCTCCTTCTAACGACTGCCAGGGTGGGGCTTGCCTAACATATCTGGGGAGCAAATTCCAGAGCCGAGGGGCCACTACAGAGAAGGCCGTCTCCTTCATCCCCACAAGTCGCGCTTGCAATGGGGGTGAGAGTGAGAGAAGGGCCTCTCTGGAAGATCGAAGACATTGTGTAGGTTCGTAGAAGGAAATGCAGTCGCGCAGGTAGGTGGGTCCCAAACTGGTCCCAATTCAAGAACCTACACCTTGAATTGGGACTGGAAAATAAACGGCAGTCAATGGAGCTCTTTAAACAGGGAGGTTGACCGTTCCCTGTAATTTGCACCAGTTATTAGTCTGGCTGCCGCTTGTTGGACCAACTGGAATTTCCAGGCCGTGTTCAAGGGCAGCCCCACGTAGAGCGCATTACAACAGTCCAATCTAGAGGTAACTAAGGTGTGGACCACCATGGCCAAATCCGATTTCACGAGGTACGGTCACAGCTGGCACACAGGCTTCAATTGTGCGAAGGCCCTCCAAGCCCTCCCACACTTGGATAACTCTTCCCAAGTGTTAATTTCTCGTTCCTTTCACTTCCTGTTGTCTCCCCATATGTAAGTTGAATGTCAATGTATATAACTCATGACTGCCTGTACTAGGCTGTGGGACTGAGCTGAATGAGGTAAACTGGACAACAGAAATGGAAACGTAAAAAACCCAAGTGGAGGCCCCTTGTGGACAGTGCGTCTATCTAGTCTTCAGAAGCACTTCTCTTGCACTGCCAAAACTTCCTTCAGCAGCAACTCTCTAATAGCATTTTGTAGGAGTGGAAGCCTACCATTGGGAAATTCACATCCGCGTTTATCAGAATCTAGAACAGTATTTCCAATGTAAAATGTGTTAAATGCAAACTTAAAAAAATTATAATGTTAAGGAACAAGACTACCACCACTTGGACTTCTCTACTTTTGACATTATGCATGTTAGATACAATTAGTTGTTTCTAATTCAACAATCTACTCTTCACAGGAAAACAGAAGGGTGGGGAGCACTTAGCCTCCACAGTTTGTTTTTTTTTTTTTTTAGGCTTACCAATTAGGGATAGTACTGGAGTTAGATCTTGATGAGTCAAAAAGATGGGCCACAATTGAGAAATCGTTAAATGGTGGGATAACTGCTAGTGTTTAAAGGATAGGATAGATAATAAAGCAATAAAGAAAATAAAAGGAGGCCCACTGATTTCAACACTCAAATAGTGGAAAAAATGGCAAAGTTTAAACAAGACAGACATGGTCCCAATAGGATAATTAGATAACAAAACCGATCAGATAAACATTAAAGTGATAAAAATATAAAAAAGTGAAATAATCAACATTGTCAACCTGTTAAAATCTGATGGAACAATAAAAGGTTAAGAGGAGTAAAAAGACAAATGTGGACATACTAACTGGTTTGATTGGCATAGAATGACACAGATGATCACAGAATGGAAGAGAAAGAAAAGCCCAGAAGCAGATCTAGAACAAATTTTAAAATGGAAAATAGAGAAGGAGAAAGGTATTGTGGGAAATATATATTTTCCTAGATATAGGAGGTTTTTTTATTTTTGAAGTTCAACAACAATATTTTATTATGGTCTGAAGACCCTTATTCCACTGAATAAGGGTCTTCGGACCGTAATAAAATATTGTTGTTGAACTTCCAAAATAGAAAAACAAAGTATGCAGGTAATGGGATTAAGAACATCCAGTTGATTGAACAAACAAATGGATAAAAATTACTTCTTAATCTTATTACCTGCATACCTTGAGGCTGAAACACCCTGGTACTTCTTGGTAGTCTTTTACCAATGTTTTTTAGATATGGGGAAAATTTTGTCTTTCTCCTTTTTTTCTGTAATGTGAATGTGTAATGTTATATACTTATATAATCTAATTAAAAATTAAAAAGTTGTTTCTAAGTTGTGAACACGAGGCTGGTTTAGGAGTGAAGCAATACATACAGACAATAATAGTTGGAAATTTGTTTGAGAAGCTGTGTTTCTATTATACATTTAACTGTCCCCCTTCGCCCAAAATATACAACTCACCTGTTCTTCTAACTTCCTTTTGTTTTCCAACAGCTGTTCAATAAGTCTGCCAAGCTTGCTTAACGAATCACAATCAGTGCCAACCTCTCTTTCCACAAATTCAGACACATAAAAAGGGATATCACAGTTCTCTGGGTCTCGAGGCATTCTCTCTTTTTCACTCTGAAGGGTTTCTTTCTCACCTGCAGGACTGGATCGAAAAAGCTTCTTGTTAATCCCTAGGGCAAGGACAGACCACAGTGCTGAGGCCAGGGTGCAATCTTCACATGTGCCCCTTGCCACCCTCACAAATACTTTTTCTAGCAAAGAGGGTGAAAGCCTTATTCTGGAAGACTTCCAGAACAGCGATTCACATTGTAATTATTTATTTACTTGCTTACTTACTGTATTTATACCCCACCCTTCTCACCCCGAAGGGGACCCAGAGCAGCCTTACAATAGGAAACAATTCGATGCCATATCAAACAAACATAATTAGATCACAGGCTCCTCCAGCAGTCCAGTTTGCCATAAAACTGGATTGCTCTCCAGTTTTTATTTTCTCTGAGAGTACTCACCTAAAAGGCTCAGCGTCTTCTAAGTCTTCTGTATCTTGATCTGGGCCATCTTCCTTTTTAGTGTCCTATTGAGAGGGGAATCACTATATGAGACAGATTTGCTTAGCCTGTGATCTGTGTCAGCGTTCAACACTGCAAACTGTTCACTCACTGTTTTCTAATCTCAATTTTTGTATCACTTCTAGATGAGCAGGCTATATAAATGTTGTAAATAAATAAATAAATAAATAAATAATGGTGACCTCTATTAACTCAACAGTGAGATGGTAAAATGTATACAAGGCATATTTCACTTTACCTGGCAACCTTAGGACATGATTAACCAGTGAAAAGCAGATAAAGAGAATACAAACATTAGAAATATGCCTAGAAAATGGCAAATAAATCCACATACCTCTTCAAAGAGCAAAGGTTCTTCACTTTCAACCAATGGTTGCGCCATCTCCAAAGAATAAGCTGAAATATTCTGCAATGAAAGATTATTTACAATTTGATTAATTAAAAGTTGGGCACAACTATATGTATATAAGATTTTATCTTGAAAGCAATGCCAGAAAATTGAAACAGGGTCAAGAGTAGGGTTGCCAGACTGAAAACTGAAAAGGGCTCCTGTACCTTTAATGGGAGTTGGTGGTCCCTACATAGATATGACCTTACTTACTTACTTAGGTGATCCCTCATTGTCTGAGTAGGATAGCTTTCCAAGATCAGTGTATAGTGGCTGTGGAGCCCAATTCTGTATCTTCTCCCACAGTGAGGACATTAGTTTCCAGGTGGAAGGCAGTCTCGGTCGGGGTTGGCTTGACGCGCCTTCCTCTTGGCACATTTCTCTCTTTCACCCTCCATTTGTGCCTCTTCAAATTCTACAGCACTGCTGGTCACAGCTGACATCCAGCTGGAGCGCTCAAGGTCCAGGGCTTTCCAGTTCTCAGTGTCTATGCCAGAATCTCTTTTCCTGTCCACCAACATTCTGTTTTCCGTTCTTGAGTTCAGAGTAGAGCAACTGCTTTGGGAGATGGTGGTCGGGCATCCGAATAATGTGGCCGGTCCAGCGGAGTTGATGGATGACATTTGTCCACTTCTCTTCCCAAGAGATTTGCAGGATTTTCCGGAGGCAGCACTGATGGAATCGTTCCAGGGGTTGCATGTGACGTCTGCAGACTGTCCATGTCTCGCAGGTGTATAGCGGGGTTGGGAGGACAATAGCTTTATAAACAAGCACCTTGGTCTCCCTACAGATGTCCTGGTCCTCAAACACTCTGTTTCATTTGGAAAAATGCTGCACTCACAGAGCTCAGGTAGTGTTGTATTTCAGTGTCAATGTTGACTTTGGTGGAGAGGTGGCTGCCAAGGTAGTGGAAATGGTTAACGTTTTCTAATGTTACACCATTAAACTGTATTTCTGGCATTGGAGAGGGATTGGCTGGTGACTGCTGGAAGTGCACTTTGGTTTTCTCAATGTTCAATGACAGTCTGAGCTTCTCGTATGCTTCTGCAAAGGTGTTTATAGAGTGGCTTGTAGGTCTTCTTCTGAATGAGCACAAATGACATTGTCATCAGCATACTGAAGTTCTATAATAGATGTTGTAACCCTGGTTTTGGCTTTCAGTCTGCTGAGGTTGAATAGCTTGCCATCTGTCCGATAGGTGATTTCCACTCCGGTGGGAAGCTTTCCATCAACAAGGTGAAGTATCATAGCAATGAAGATGGAAAATAAGGTTGGGGCAATAACACACCCCTGTTTGACACCTGATTCCTCCTTAAATGGGTCACTTTGCTGGCCATTGCTGTCCAAGACTGTTGCCATCATGGCGGAGCCGCAGGATGTTCACAAATTTGTTAGGGCACCCGATTTTTTGGAGGATCCTCTCACCTCTGCAGGAGTCTACCCTACACGATGCAGCTGTGGACAAGTTTACATCTCTCTCTCTATATATAGATAGATAGATAGATAGATAGATAATAAAAGAGAGTGTTTGTATGTATGTATGTGTGCGATTGGCTGCCACTGTGGTACAATTTGCATAAGGTCTCTGATTGGCCAGCCAAAGCATCCCAAGACTCTCAAGTGGCTGAGAGGGGAAAGGAAATTTGCATATGGTTTCTGATTGGCCAGCCTCAACAGGAGTCCCTGGTGGTGAAGAGGGTTAATGAGAGAAGCGGGGACATGAGAGAAGCCTCCCACAAGGATTGTAAAACATCAAAACATCCTGGGGTGTCCCCTGGGCAATGTCCTTGCAGGTGGCCAATTCTCTCACACCAGAAACAACTTGCAGTTTCTCAAGTCACGAGCAAAAACAATGCAAAACAAAACAAACATTATAACATTCTCAAATGGATGAGAAGAGAAAGGAAAGGGCCTGAGGGATTTGCAGTACCTTCACTCACTCTACATCCTACTGCAGTTTGGAGGAGGATGCACCATGGATGATGGGACCTTCATTACCATCACTCACTTTCTGAGACCACTGAGACCTTCATCCAATAACTTATCTACACCAGACTTGGCACATAGACCTCTCATGACCCACTTTATTTATTTATTTATTTACATTATTTCTATCCCACCCATTTCAGCCCGAAGGCGACTCAGGGTGGTATACACAGTCGGCACAATTAGATGCCGAAACAAAATGCATACATTGATAAAGCAGAAACATTCAGTGCAATTAAACATAAACGACAGTGCATAATAACAATTTAAAAAGAAACTATGTCTCCACCTTCCCTCCCTCTCCCTCCCTCTTCAACCACAGTATATTTCTAGCTAATCTTGCAGATACAGCCACTGGAAGAGTCTTTGTATTTTTTCTTTGATGTGATTATTGGCTCCTCCATTTTTCACCCAGTTGAAGTAGACCTTCCATCTATTTGTAATGATCATTTCTTTGTCCATTCTTGGTGTTTGCTTACATTGTCTTGGCCGTTCCTGGGTCAATTTCCAACTCTAGTTTGTCTGTTTACTCCGGGGTTCCGAAGGCTTGCTTGAAGAGCCAAGTTTTTACTCTTTTTCGGAAAGTCAGGAGGGAGGGGGCTGATCTAATATCCCTGGGGAGGGAGTTCCACAGCCGGGGAGCCACCACAGAGAAGTCCCCGCCAGACGTGCCTGTAAAGCAGGCGGGATCGAGAGCAGGGCCTCCCCAGACGATCTTAGGTTCCTGGGGGGTTCGTAGGGAGAGATGCCTTCAGGTAGATAGACTGGGCCAGAACCGTTTACGCCCTGATGTGGTTTGGCCGGAGATGGACCATGGATTATGGGACTTGCAGTACCTTCACTCACTTCCTGAAACCACTGCAACCCTCATCCAATTACTGACAAAGACCAAACTTGGCACACTGAGTCTCCATGACACAGTCTCCATCCTGGAGCAGTTTGGAGGAAGATGGACCACAGATGATGGGACTAACTTCCTGAGACCACTGCGAGCCATACAAATAACTGATGAAGACCAACCTTGATACACAATTCCTTTCTCAAGCTAGTTTCATAATAAATGGCGTGGGGAAAATAATTCCCCTACAAGCAGGCCAAAGAAACAGTTGCCTGCCAATGTTATGGGCAAGGGGCCTTAAATACCGTCCCAGCGCCCCTTTGGAATAGAAGAAATTAGTCAGGGGAGATGTAATTCTAAATGAAAGAATGCAACTCAGCCCTGGTTGAGAGCAACTGGAAGCAGGACAGTCCTGAGGCGGAGTGGCCATATTCCCTCCCTAGTTTGGCCGTTGCCAGGTAACAACCTCCCCCCCATGCAGTAAACTAAGCAACCCCCCCCCCCCCCCCAATTTTGAGGAGAACGAGGCGCGCGCGAGGCGTCCACCTACCCACTCACCGGCCTCCAGGTTTAAGCCCCGCCCCTTCCCTTGCCCCGCCCCCAACAGCGACGCGTCAGCAGCAAACTCTGCCAAACCCGGCAGCCCGCCCTCCCTCTAGGCGAGTAGCAACGCGAGAGCGGAGAGGGGCACGTGCTCGAACAGGCCCGTCCCCTCGCTCCAAGGGTCACGTGGCCGCCGCAGCTGCGTCCCTGCCTGGCCGAGGGAGGGTGGAAAAGCCAGCACTCCACTTCCGGCTTGGGTTTAGTAGCCATTTTCCTCCTGCGGCGGAAGTGACGACAGTCCATAACATTACAAAAGGGGGCGAGGTAAGTGGGAGGAAGCCCAGCATAGCGAACTTGTGTTTGGCTAGCGAGTTACATGTGCCTCCCAAGTTGTGTGTTGTGGCAATTCCATGAGTTTCATAAGGCTTGGCTTAGGGCAGGAATCCTCACACCCCTTTGAGGTCCTTTCTGTATAAAATCTACATTATCTGCTTTGAACTGGATTGTATGGCAGTGTGGACCCAGATTGCCAGGGCAGAAAATCCCACAAAATCTGGTTATCATAGAATCAAAGAGTTGGAAGAGACCTCATGGGCCATCCAGTCATTACCTTTGTTAAATATGTTTTAAACTAATTTTCAATTTGTTAACATGATTTTAATACTTGGCGAAGGCTTTCATGGCTGGAATCACTCGGTTCTTGTGGGTTTTTTCGGGCTATATGGCCATGTTCTAGAGGCATTTCTCCTGACGTTTCGCCTGCATCTATGGCAAGCATCCTCAGAGGTGAGGTCTGTTGGGACTGGGAAAAAAGGGGTTTATATATCTGTGGAATGACCAGGGTGAGACAAAGGGCTTTTGTAAGTTGGGCTAGGTGTGAATCTTTCAACTGACCACCTTGATTAGCATACAATGGGCTGACTGTGCCTGGAGCAAACTCTTCTTGAAAGGTGATTAGATGTCCCTGCCTGTTTTTCTCTCTGCTATTTTTGCTGTTGCAATTTTAGAATTTTTTAATACTGGTAGCCAGATTTTGTTCATTTTCATGGTTTCTTCCTTTCTGTTGAAATTGTCCACATGTTTGTGGATTTCAATGGCTTCTCTGTGTAGTCTGACATGGTGGTTGTGAGAGTGGTCCAGCATTTTTGTTTTCTCAAATAAAATGCTGTGTCCAGGTTGGTTCATCAGGTGCTCTGCTATGGCTGACTTCTCTGGTTGAGTAGTCTGCAGTGCCTTTCATGTTCCTTGATTCGTGTTTGGGCCATGCTGCGTTTGGTGGTCCCTATGTAGACTTGTCCACAGCTGCATGGTATACGGTAGACTCCTGCAGAGGTGAGAGGATCCCACTTGTCCTTTGCTGAACGTAGCATTTGTTGGATTTTCTTGGTGGGTTTGTAGATTGTTTGTATGTTGTGTTTCCTCATCAGCTTCCCTATGCGGTCAGTGGTTCCCTTGATGTATGGCAGGAACACTTTTCCTCTGGGGGGATCTTCATCTTGACTCTCGTGGCTTGTTCTTGGTCTTGCAGCTCTTCTGATGTCTGAGGTGGAGTATCCATTGGCCTGGAGAGCCCAGTTGAGGTGGTTCAGTTCATCTTGGAGGAGGTGGGGTTCACAGATTCTTTTTGCACGGTCTGCCAAGGCTTTAATGGTGCTTCTTTTTTGACTTGGGTGATGGTTGGAGTTTTTATGTAGATATCTATCTGTGTGTGTGGGTTTTCTGTAAACGGTGTGACCCAATTGTTGATCTGGTTTACGGATGACTAGGACATCTAGAAAAGGCAGTCTTCCTTCCTTTTCTTTTTCCATAGTGAACTGGATGTTTGGGTGGATGCTGTTAAGATGTTCCAGGAACCTGTTGAGTTCTTCTTCTCCATGGCTCCAAATGGTGAAAGTGTCATCCACATATCTGAACCATATCGTGGCTCAGACCCATCGTGAGTGCCACTGGATCCCCCACATATGACTTAGCCAAATTTCTTGCTGCACAGTTACAAAGCCACATTGGGCTCACAACACACTACATCAAGGACTCAGCCCACTTCATTGAAAAAATCAGCAATCTCAAGCTAAATACAAATGACAAACTGATCAGCTTCGATGTGGTGTCTCTATTTACCATGGTCCCAGTTGCAGACACCATGGCACTCATCAACCAGAGGTTCCCAGAAGACATCACGGCACTGTTTCACCATAGCCTCACCACCAGTTATTTTCAGTGGGACAATGAATTCTACGAACAGAAAGATGGAGTAGCTATGGGGAGCCCTCTCAGCCCAGTCATAGCTAACTTCTACATGGAACACTTTGAAAAACAAGCTCTTGAAACAGCAACAAAAAAGCCCACGATATGGTTCAGATATGTGAATGACACTTTCACCATTTGTTGTAGCCCATTGAACAACAGTTCCCATATTCCCTTACCCAAGTGGTCAAGCTGTGCAGGGCTGATGGGAATGCTAGGGTCATCAAAGCTCCACCCCTGTATTAGAATCATAGAATCATAGAATCAAAGAGTTGGAAGAGACCTCATGGGCCATCCAGTCCAACCCCCTGCCAAGAAGCAGGAATATTGCATTCAAATCACCCCTGACAGATGGCCATCCAGCCTCTGTTTAAAAGCTTCCAAAGAAGGAGCCTCCACCACACTCCGGGGCAGAGAGTTCCACTGCTGAACGGCTCTCACAGTCAGGAAGTTCTTCCTCATGTTCAGATGGAATCTCCTCTCTTGTAGTTTGAAGTCATTGTTCCACATCCTTGTCTCCAAGGAAGCAGAAAACAAGCTTGCTCCCTCCTCCCTGTGGCTTCCTCTCACATATTTATACATGGCTATCATATCTCCTCTCAGCCTTCTCTTCTTCAGGCTAAACATGCCCAGCTCCTTAAGCCGCTCCTCGTAACGCTTGTTCTCCAGACCCTTGATCATTATAGTCGGCCTCCTCTGGACACATTCCAGCTTGTCAATATCTCTCTTGAATTGTGGTGCCCAGAATTGGACACAATATTCCAGGTGTGGTCTAACCAAAGCAGAATAGAGGGGTAGCATGACTTCCCTAGATCTAGACACTATGCTCCTATTGATGCAGGCCAAAATCCTATTGGCTTTTTTTGCCGCCACATCACATTGTTGGCTCATGTTTAACTTGTTGTCCACGAGGACTCCAAGATCTTTTTCACACGTACTGCTCTCGAGCCAGGCATTGTCCCCCATTCTGTATCTTTGCATTTCGTTTTTTTCTGCCAAAGTGGAGTATCTTGCATTTGTCACTGTTGAACTTCATTTTGTTAGTTTTGGCCCATCTCTCTAATCTGTCAAGATCGTTTTGAATCCTGCTCCTGTCCTCTGGAGTATTGGTTATCCCTCCCAATTTGGTGTTGTCTGCAAACTTGATGATCCTGCCTTCTAACCCTTCATCTAAGTCATTAATAAAGATGTTGAACAGGACCGGGACTGTTCAAGTAGGAATAAGGCTTGGCTTAGGTCAGGAATCCTCACACCCCTTCGAGGTCCCTTCTGTATAAAATCTACATTATCTGCTTTGAAATAAGCATCCCGAGCTCTGAGGATTACCTGGGAAGGAATCCCACTGGAGCATTGCAGCACACCCAAATACCTGGGAGTCACTCTGGACCGTGCTCTGACTTACAAGAAGCACTGCCTGAACATCAAGCAAAAAGTGGGCGCTAGAAACAACATCATATGAAAGCTGACGGGCACAACCTGGGATCACAACCAGACACAGTGAAGACATCTGCCCTTGCACTGTGCTACTCTGCTGCTGAGTACGCATGCCCAGTGTGGAACACATCTCACCACACTAAAACAGTGGATGTGGCTCTTAATGAGACATGCCGCATTATCACAGGGTGCCGGCACCCTACACCACTGGAGAAATTACACTATTTAGCCGGTATTGCACCACCTGACACCTGCCGGGAAGTAGCAGCCAATAGTGAAAGGACCAAGGCAGAGACATCTCCAGCTCATCCCCTGTTTGGGTACCAGCCAGCACGTCAACGACTTAAATCAAGAAATAGTTTTCTAAGATCTACAGAGACACTCGCTGGAACACCTCAGCAAGCGAGAGTCCAAAAGTGGCAGGCTCAAATCCAGAACCTCAACCAGTGGCTGATACCAAATGAGAGACTGCCCCCTGGGCACACAGAGGACTGGGCAACTTGGAAGGTGCTGAACAGACTGCGCTCTGGCACCACGAAATGCAGAGCCAACCTTAAGAAATGGGGCTACAAAGTGGAATCCACGACATGCAAGCGTGGAGAGGAGCAAACCACTGACCACCTGCTGCAATGCAACCTGAGCCCTGCTACATGCACACTGGAAGACCTTCTTGCAGCGACACCAGAAGCACTCCAAGTGGCCAGCTACTGGTCAAAGGACATGTAATCAACTACCAAACTCACAAATTTTGTATTTTGTCTGTTTGTTTGCTTTGTTCTGTTAGAAGTGTAATATAATCGACTGGTTGCCCTGACACGATAAATAAATATGGCCGGAATCACTGGGTTGTTGTAGGTTTTTCCGGGCTATATGGCCATGTTCTAGAGGCATTTTCTCCTGACGTTTCGCCTGCATCTATGGCAAGTATCCTCAGAAGTAGTGAGGTCTGTTGGAAGTAGGAATATATAAAGTAGATATATAAACCCATTTTCCTACTTCCAACAGACCTCACTACCTCTGAGGATGCTTGCCATAGATGCAGGCGAAACATCAGGAGAAAATGCCTCTAGAACATGGTCATATAGCCCAGAAAAACCTACAACAACCCATTATCTGCTTTGAACTGGATTGTATGGCAGTGTGGACTCAGGGCCCTTCCACACAGCCATATAACCGGAATGCCAGGGCAGAAAATCCCACAATATCTGCTTTGAACTGGGTTATCAGAGTCCACACTGCATATATTTCAGTTCAAAGCAGATGTCAACAACAATTTTTATTGATTAGCCAGTTGGCCTTATCAAAAATAAACAGTGCAGACACAACATACAACATACGAAGGGTATTTTTTAAGTAAGGTCCGTTTTGTTGTAGACACTAGTAGTTTGCGCGCAACTGTCAAACTAGGGAGGGAATCAGAAATAAAGGTTTCAATTTATCCCTTATTTAAGCTGAAGCCCTGATACTGGAAGAATGGGTAATATTCTAGATCAGCCATCACTCTCTTTCCTTCCTGTTCTTTGCAGTGCTCTGACAATATGCCCTCCATCATTTCCCCCTCCTGCTTCTGCTGAATTATTGGAGGGCAAACCACTTTTGCACTTTGAACACAGTTCGCACCAATGGCGTGGAGTTGAGGATAAAATGGGAGGTGGAACAAGAAAGTGGGACAATGGAAGATAAAACCAGACTGTCACTGAAAACTGGAACAATGGAAAAACCGTTGACCGTGTAGAAGTTGGATTGAGGCCAAAAAAGGAACAGATTTATTCAAAATTATTTAATAAAAGGAGGGTAAAACTGACTTCCAATTTGATTTTAGAAATAAAAACAGACAACACAAATGTCAAATTCAGAAGGGCTATTTAATCCTGTAATTCCAGGATATAGATTTTCCTAGTTTATCCATTGCCTGCAACAGACAAACCATGAATGTTGGAACCGAACAACAATAATTAAGGAAACACATCCATATCTAGTTCATCAGATCTAGTTTTACAAGTGGAAACAGGTTGTGAAAAGACACAACCATTTAATAAAATTGCATCCCAAATAAAAACAGGTACATATATTTACACAAAGACATGGACATCACAGCAAGGGAAATAGTTGTAAACCCAGATCCTGTCAGCAGTCTTAAGGCTAAATATATCTATTCTCCAGATATAAATGTGGATTCATCAAGACTCTATCCTAATTGGTATCACCGAACTGAGCATGCCTGCAATCAGTTTTATTTAGTATCAAACTCAGGAAAACACATCTACTACCATATTTGAGAAAACATTTTGAATATTTCTGAAGACCTGAAATCACAGACAAAGCCATCAATTTTTTCTGCAAGCCAGTCATGTTGCAATCTGCAAATACCTCCAGCACCATGTTTTCTTTAACAGTTTGAAAACCAAAAAACTTACATTTTTGACGAACACCATTTTGCAACAGATTTCAAATTATATATGTTAAGCGAGTACAAAAATACATTTTAATTAGAAAGTACCGGGGGGGGGGGGGTGAGACTACTCAATAAGAACCCAATTTTTATGTTAAAACTTTTATCCAATCAATGCAAAAGATCATTAGCGTAGCCATATTGTATTTAGCTGTGTCTGTTTTTTTATGCTTGTGTCCATCTTTAGCACTTCTCGAATGGCCATTGTGGCATAAGTAGATGGTGGAAGGGAGAAGTCCATCTTCAAAGCCTTGTATTTGCCTTCTGTGGAAAAAAAATGTCTATCTTAATCACTGTAATAACCACCTATGATACATTTTTTCAGTTCTTAATATCACTGCCAAGATCTCCGTGTTGAAGGTATCTCACAGCCTGCTTTAACTATCTGACAACATGGTGATAGACATAATTTACAAGTAGCAACACAATTCCCAGCTTCATTGTTTACATGGAGATACCAAATTTAGTCTGGGATGATTTGTAGAGAAAGGCAAATCCTCATCTGCAGAAATCCCATAGCTTGATTATGAGAGAAATCAAGGGAACATTTTTTCACTCTGGGTGGGAGTCTTAATCTCAGTTGAGATGGGGATTCACACCCTTCCACAACAGCCCACCCAGAGAGTAACAGCTCTTGGAAGTATCTTAGACATGTTCACATCTTGAGACAAGGATTCTCAAACTAAGGCCCAGATACGGCCCTCCAAGGTCATTTACCCGGCCCTCGCTCAGGGTCAACCTACTCTGAAATTACTTAAAACCACACAACAACAATCCTATCTTATCAGCGAAAAGCAGAGCCACACTTCCCATTGAAATACTAATAAGTTTATATTTGTTAAAATTGTTTTTCATTTTAATGATTGTATCATTTTAAGTGTTTTGCACTATAAATAAGATATGTGCTGTGTGCACAGGAATTCATTCTTTTCTTTTTTTCAAATTATAATCTGGCCTTCCAACAGTTTGAGGGACTGTGACCTGGCCCTCTGTTTAAAAAGTTTGAAGACCCCTGTCTTAAAACATACCTAGTACCTACACTTGTTTTCTTTTGTGTCAAATTGTAACTATAGGAGCTATATGTAGTGTTAAATCCATCTATGGAAGCAGGAACAGTAAAAAATGAATTAAACAAATCCACTCTTAACCATGATTTTTAAACTCAATGTTTACTGTATTTAAATCTTTGTTCTGTGTATTGTATTCTGTGTATTTCATAGAAATACATTTTAATATACAAATTTTACATAATGTTTTATGATTATATGTGTTTTATCTATGTTGTGCCCCACCTCGAGGAGAGGCAGGTAAGAAATACAATTATTATTAATTGTCCCCTGCCACGCGTTGCTGTGGCCCACATGGGGGTTCTGTGTGGGTGGTTTGGCCCAATTCTATCGTTGGTGGGTTCAGAATGCTCTGTGATTGTAGGTGAACTATAAATCCCAGCAACTACAACTCCCAAATGTCAAGATTCTATTTTCCCCACACTCCACCAGTGTTCACATTTGGGCATAATATTTATTTATTTATTTATTTATTTATTTCTTGTACTTATTGACCGCCACTCTCAGCCCTAGGGGCGACTCGTGGCGGTGAACAGCAACATAAAAGACAGCATACAAAATTTACAACAATACATAACAAACTACTACTACGACATATACCTATGCTAAAAATCCGCTTCGTCTAATCCTGGGGTCATAGCCAAACTCGTAGTCATAGTCCATTCTAACGTCTTTCCACAGATACACTTAGTTGAAGGCCTGCTCGCAGAGCCAAGTTTTCAGGCTCCTGCGAAAGGCCAACAAAGAGGGCGCCTGTCTAACCTCAGCAGGGAGGGTGTTCCACAGCCGGGGGGCCACCACCGAGAAGGCCCTCTCTCTCGTCCCCGCCAGACGTGCCTGTGAGGCAGGCGGGACCGAGAGAAGAGCCTCCCCAGATGATCTCAAGGCCCTCGTGGGCTCATAGGCCGAGATGCGGTCTGCAAGGTATCTTGGGCCGGAACCGTTTAGGGCTTTGTAGGCTAACACCAGCACCTTAAATTGGGCCCGGTAGCAAATCGGCAGCCAGTGGAGCTGGGACAGCAAGGGCGTTGTGTGCTCCCTGCGTCCCGCTCCAGTTAACAACATGGCTGCCGCGCGCTGGACTAGCTGAAGCTTCCGGGCCGTCTTCAAGGGCAGCCCCACGTAGAGAGCGTTGCAGTAGTCAAGGCGGGATGTGACCAGAGCGTGTACCACCGTGGCCAAGTCAGACTTCCCAAGATACGGGCGCAGCTGGCGCACGAGCCTAAGCTGTGCAAATGCTCCCCTGGTCACCGCTGAAACCTGGGGCTCCAGGCTCAGCGATGAATCCAGGGGCACACCCAAGCTGCGAACCTGCGCCTTCAAGGGGAGTGCGACCCCGTCCAGCACAGGCTGTAACCCTATACCCTGCTCGGCCTTACGACTGACCAGGAGTACCTCTGTCTTGTCTGGATTTAATTTCAGTTTGTTCGCCCTCATCCAGACCATTACAGCGGCCAGGCACCGGTTCAGGACTTCGACAGCCTCCTTAGTAGCAGGTGGAAAGGAGTGACAGAGTTGGACGTCATCTGCGTACAGGTGACACCGCACCCCGAAACTCTGGATGATCTCACCCAGCGGCTTCATGTAGATGTTAAACAGCAGGGGGGACAAGATGGAACCCTGAGGAACGCCACAGGTCAACGGCCGTGGCGCTGAACAGGAGTCCCCCCATAACACCTTCTGGGTACGACCCTCCAGAAATGATCGGAGCCACTGCAGCGCAGTGCCCCCGAGACCCATCTCTGCAAGGCGCCCCAGAAGAATACCGTGGTCGACGGTATCGAAGGCCGCTGAGAGATCCAGGAGCACCAACAGGGACACACTCCCCCTGTCTAGCTCCCGGCGGAGATCATCCACTAAGGCGACCAAGACCGTCTCGGTACCATGTCCCGGTCTGAAACCAGACTGTGCCGGATCCAGAATATCCGTGTCTCTCAAGAATACCTGGAGTTGTGAGGCCACCACGCTTTCCATGACTTTGCCCAAGAAGGGAAGATTGGAAACAGGCCGAAAGTTGTCCAAATTAGTGGGGTCCAGTGATGGTTTCTTCAACAGCGGCTTTATAACAGCCTGTTTTAGGCTCGCTGGAATCTTGCCTTCCCGGAGGGAGGCATTAACCACCACCGTTACCCACTCGGCCAATCCCCCTCTGGCCTCCTTCAGAAGCCAGGATGGGCAGGGGTCTAGGATGGACGTGGTGGGTCTCATTCCTCCAAGTATCTTGTCCACATCCTCGGGTTCACAAACTGAAAAGAATCCAACAAAATAGGACAAGCAGGTGCTTGTGTCACATCCTCGGAGACTGCATTTAACATGGTGTCCAGCCCAGAACGGATCAAAGCGACTTTGTCTGCAAAGAACCGAGCAAATGCTTCACAGCGTGCTGCCGAGTTGTCAGGGCTCCCACCTGAAATAGGGGGAGTTAAAAGACCTCTGACAATCCGAAACAACTCCGCCGGACGGTTTTTTGCAGACGCAATAGTGGCCGCAAAGAAAGATTTCTTTGCGGCTTTTATTGCCGCGGCATATGCCCTTAAAAAGGACACAAACCGTGTTCGGTTTGGCTCGCTTGGATCCGAGCGCCACACGCTCTCTAGACCCCTCTTCTTTCGCTTCATCGCTGCCAGCTCCTCAGTAAACCAAGGGGCTGGTTTAGCTCGGTTACTTGAGAGGGGACGTTCCGGAGCGATCATGTCAATTGCCCTAGTCATCTCCCCATTCCAGAGAGCGACCAAGGCCTCGACATGAGCACCTACCGAGGTGGCGGGAAACTCCCCAAGAGCCATCAGGAATCCATTCGGATCCATTAGCCTCCTGGGGCGGACCATCTTAATGGGTCCTCCACCCCTGCGGAGGTTAGGGGTTGTGTAGAGTTTGGTCCAGATCCATCATTGTTTGAGTCCACAGTGAACTCCGGATGTAGGTGAACTACAACTCCAAAACCAAATGACAGTGCCCACCAAACCCTTCCAATATTTTCTGTTGGTCATGGGAGAACTGTGTGCCAAGTTTGGTTCAGTTCCATCGTTGGTGGGGTTCAGAATGCTCTTCGATTGTAGTTGAACTATAAATCCCGGCAACTACAACTCCCAAATGACAAAAGCAAAGTTTTTTGAGTGAAGGACATACATTGGGTTGTTAGGTGTCTTGTGTTTTTGGTGTCAATTTGTTCAGTGGTTTGTGAGTTCTGTTAATCCCACAAATGAACATTACATATTTATTTATATAGATGAGGTTAACAACTCTTGGAGCAAAGCACTGAGGGCTCTGCCCAATCTGCCTTTCAAATAGAGCATTTCAACAGCAACCTTGCTTTCAATAATTTTCATACTTGCCATCTCTCTCATTCAGCTCTTTTATTTCTTTCCACAAAGAAACCTCCATTTAACATATCTTAATGCTCAATAATGTATGGGAATGGAAGGAATAAATGTGGAATATTCACCAATTCGTACAACCTTTAGTATTAAACAATTAAGATTTGGCTGCTTACACAGTGGATATATATAAAAAGACCTCAGCTTACAGACGTACCTGTTGCAAGAGCTGCAGGTGTTTTTCCTTCCATTTTGTCTAAGTCAGTGGTAAATAATGGAATTTTGGGATCATCATATGCAACCAACTCCCTTTATAAAAATAGAAAATGAGATATAAAATGGATTTGGCAAACTTGAAAACCATCTGCAGCGCAGAAATGTTGCTGTCCTCCAGGTGTTGTTGGACTGTTGCACTGAGCATTTCCCACCATAGACCACATTGTCAACTGCTTGCAATTGCAGACTAACAGTATCTGGCGAGCTACACAATTCCCATCCCGACATACAGCAATCCATTTTCTGAGATTAACGTAAACCATACCTATTTTACAATACACACGTGTAATACAGTGGTATACTTGGTACAAACGCAATCCCATATCTCAATTTAAGGACTGCAAAATGTTTTTGGGAAGGAAACATGCCTCATGTAGTTTGCAAAGGTATCCTACTTGGTTTCATTTGATACCAATGGGACTTGTCTAAGCAGCTTTACATTCTTATACCTACACTTTACAGGCTTTGGGGGTGGGGGCGGTGAAGTTCAAGGGATGAAAATCCAGAGCTCCTCCCAAGGTAATTGGCCATTATACTCTGCTTTCTACTTACCAGCTCACATGCTGAGGGCGAATGATAACTTTTCTGTAGGCTCCTGATAATGAATAGTCTCGAATTTTATGTTTCATGTTATTGATGTCCAAATTGTCTGCAACTAATATTTCCTTGTAGGCTTCTCCACCTGTCATGACAAGGATATGATTATATATAAGCACTAAATAAGCCGTTTACCTTAAGATTTATTGGAATATTTGTAAGTAGTGGTAGAGGTTAGCTAAACATGAAAGATATCTACATGGTTAATTTTAAAGGCTTAGTTTTAACACACTTTTCTCCCCACAAAAATGGAAATTTACCCTCCGCACACACATATAATATCTGATACTATTTTGCATCACCACTCCCATCATTTTTCTATTGCATAAATTTGTGTAGCTCAGTTTCAAAGTTCATCCTAGTGCCTAGCCGCTGTGGCTGACTGGATGAGGATGAATAAGCTGAGGATCAATCCTGACAAGACAGAGGTCCTCCTGGTCGATCGTAAGCTGGATCGGGGTATAGGGTGGCAACCTGTGCTGGACGGGGTTGCACTCCCCCTGAAGTCACAGGTCCGCAGCTTGGGTGTCCTCCTGGACTCATCACTTACGCTTGAAGCTCAGGCATCGGCGGTGGCTGGGAGGGCCTTCGCACAGTTAAAACTCGTGCGCAAGCTGCGAACATACCTTGTGAAGCCGGATCTGGCCAGGGTGGTCCATGCCTTCGTCACCTCCAGATTGGATTACTGTAATGCACTCTACGTGGGACGGCCCAGAAATTCCAATTGGTACAACGAGCATCACCGGTGCGACTTACAGGGAGCGGTCAACTCCCCTGTTTAAGGAGCTACATTGGCTGCTGTTCATTTTCCGATCCCAATTCAAGGTGCAGGTTCTTACCTACAAAGCCTTGAACGGTTTGGGACCTGCCTACCTGCATGAGCGCATTTCCATGTACAAACCCACACGATCTCTTCGTTCATCTGGAGAGGCCCTGCTCTCGCTCCTGCCTTCCTCGCAGGCGCAATTGGTGGGGACGAGGGAGAGGGCCTTCTCGGTGGTGCCCCCCTGACTCTGGAACTCACTTCCCAGGAATATAAGGCATGCCCCAACATTGGCAGTCTTTAGGAGGAGCCTGAAAATGTGGCTGTTCCAGTGTGCCTTCCCGGAATAAGGAAATAATATCCAGCAAAATGTCCTCAGAATGTACTTTAACTATTCGTTGGATTGTGCTCCCCTCACTTCTTTTAAAACCCTCCTACCAGATATATCCTACCTTGTTCATGCCCAGCGTTTATTTTTTAATTTTTAAACTATTACATTTGGCCTGGCCATAGGTTTTTAAATCCTTGTGTGTCAATGGTTATATGTGATTTATATGAATTGTATTGTTTTGTTTATTGCTTTCTTGGTTTATTGATGTGTTGTTGGGCTAGGCCTCATGTAAGCCGCTCCGAGTCCCTTGGGGAGATGGTGGCAGGGTATAAATAAAGTTTTATTATTATTTATTTATTATTAGTTTCGTGTCCCACTTGGGAGGATATAGTAGGGCTGATTTTTCAGTTTTATCTAACAGCAATACTATGAAACAATTTGATCCATCTACATCTCTGACAAAACCTTTCCCTTCCCTGTGGCTTCAGGTAAAAAAATTTAACTGCAACAGCCTCTGTTAGTTTGTCGCGTCCTTCCTCATTAACAACTTCTTCATCTTGGCCACACTCCCAGTGTTGGTGTGATGTCTTCTCCCATCAGTTAATAATCTGATTGGACATAATCACCCTTCATCAAAATCCCCCTTGTTATTGACATGAATCTGTGCTTATAAATCTAATAAACAGTTTGTTTCATTGAGATAAGTGTAGTTCCGAGAGGCAAAAATATGGTGTAAAACAGCGGAGATATGGTCCACCTGCGCTGATTCAATCACATATCTTTAAAGGCATTCAGGATAAAAACACAACAAAGATTCCATAAATGCACTGCCAACCAAAGTGGTTCACTCATCTTCCCTTATTATAGTTTTGATATTAAAAACAAGGTCATAAAAGGAACTGCTTTGTTATATAAAGATACAGATACCTTCATCCTAAGTACTATCAACTACTTCAGCCACCCAAGAAATGGATTTATAATTGGCTTCTGACATAAAAGGAATTCTTACTTTTATGCTTTGGATAGATAACATCAAAACCAGGCAATGGCATCACAACATCATGGATGGTGTAATTGTCAGCCTCTGACTCTTCAATATAAGTAGCAGTACCTGAAAATATGAAAAGATTTGCTAGTCACTTGAAGCTTCCTAAATCATTTCAGCCATTACTTTTTGAGAAATCTTGTTTCAAAAACATCTTGTATCTTACAAAGAGCAATTTCATATGCTATGTAGGCTGAAGACTAGGCAGCAAGAAAAGAGAATAGATCCTAATAGATTCTTAGCATCACCTCCTTTCCAAACATTAATCTATATAGTTTATGCTATTTCAAATAAAATACTAGGATACATATATATGCTTTTCTAACTCTTTGGAGCTATGGGAGAGGAAATAATGCCACTCTTAATTTTGCCAATGCAAGCTGATAGATCTCAGGTTTATGATTGTGACTGTATTTCAACCAGATTATATACACTGTAGGATCCCCAGCATGTACTGGCCTCTTTCTTCTCTGTTTGATTTAAAGTCAACAATGGCAGCAACCTCTCACTAGACTCTTTTCAAGGCTTCTTATGGAGAACTACAGAGAGCAAGACCCTATTGCCACTTTCAGCGAAGGGGGCATGAGAAAAACAGAGCTCACAACAAGGGGAAATCAACTGGTTGTTCTTAATCTCATTACCTGTATACCTTGAGGCTGAAACATACCGGCACTTCTTGTAGTTTTTTACCTTTGTTTTTTAGTAAACATGTATTTTAAGCAGTTTTTACTGTTTGCAAATCTTATCCATTTGTGTGTTCAATAAACTGGATGTTCTTAATCTCATTACCTGTGGAACTTGTATGCTAGGTTGTAATAAGGGTCTTTGAACCATAATAAAAAAATATTGTTGTTGAACAAGGGAAAATCATCTGCATCCCACTGCACTCCCAGTGAGATAAGGAAGAACATGGATGTAGAACTGGGCAAAATGGGGTTACATAAAATACACGCTTTTTGATGTAAAGAAAACCATGTCATATTTGGTGAGGGTAATAAACTTGCTCATTATGGGGTTTAAGTACAAGAAATCGGCAGGCTGTATCAAAATGCTTTGTACACCCTGTGCAATATATGTTGACATGAATCAATGTTGACAGATTACCTCCTTTTAGCACAAGATCTCCAGGTACAGCTTTAAGACCATATTCTTCTATTCGCTTGCTCACCATGTTATTCCACACATAACTCTGATAGCTATGAATATACATCAAACGATTATTTCGTGGTATCTGTAGACATTTCAAAAAGGCAGTTATTCAAGAAGGAACAATTGCTACGATTCATTTTCTAATTACATCTCAAATATCAGAGGTTGAAGTTTAAGAACTGAGTACCACAAAAATACAGTACCATGCCACGCATACAACCAAATATCTATTTATTTAATTATGTTTGTAAGCATCTGCCCCACCAAGTGATCCACAACCTAGCTAATTGCAATAAAAATGTGAAAGTATAACAAAATACTGTAACACAACAATGACATGGAAAATGAAAGAGCAGATGAACTGTAAATATACCCATATAAATAAGCAGTTAGAAACAACTGCTACATATTTATGTTTCAAGCTATGGGCTAAAGGCTTACCATAAATACAAATAGTTTGTCAAATGGAAGTTGGCAAGATGTTCTAGAACAGGGGTCCTCAAACTATGGCCCGGGGGCCGGATACGGCCCTCCAAGGTCATTTACCCGGCCCTCGCTCAGAGTCAACCTAAGTCTGAAACGACTTGAAAGCACACAACAACAATCCTATCTCATCAGCCAAAAGCAGGCCCACACTTCCCATTGAAATACTAATAAGTTTATATTTGTTAAAATTGTTCTTCGTTTTAATTATTGTATTGTTTTTAAGTGTTTTTTGAACTAGAAATAAGATATGTGCTGTGTCCATAGGAATTCATTCATGTTTTTTTCAAATTATAATTTGGCCCTCCAACAGTTTGAGGGACTGTGACCTGGCCCCCTGTTTAAAAAGTTTGAGGACCCCTGTTCTAGAACCTGTGAGCTGCCATCAAGTAGTACAATATCATAATTTAATTATTACATCATGGGAGTTGTAGTTTGGTGAGGCACCAGTACTCTTGGGCAAAGGAGGCTAAAGACATTGCAAAACTACAATTCCCATAATTCTATAGTATTGAGGAGTTAAAATGGTGCCAAACCGCATTATTCCTACAGTATAGATGCATCCTGAGCCAAGGTTTTGAAAAGAACTTCCTGGCCATTGCAGTATCCACCATCCTGAATTCCAAAGCCCAGTCCTGACCCTCAAGGTACTTTTCAGACATGTTCAAAGTTCAGGGAGGTCTTCGAACTATCACCACAAAATCTCCACACTCACTATGCCAAATGCAGAGACTATATTCTTCAGTCCGTACTTTGAAAGTCCCCGAAGCAACTGTCCTTCCACACATCTTTTCACAGGCAGTTTTCTGAGAGCTGCAGCTGGATCTTTGGTTTTTGCCCACTCTTCTCGGCATTTGACTAAGTAGCCTTTTTCAGCTGCAACAAATGGTTGAATTCAAGGTCAGTGCTTTTAACATCAAATTTATTTATTTATTTATTGTATTTGTACAGTACAGTTAAGACTTCAGCATCCATGGATTTAACCAACTTTTTAAAAAAGTTTGATTTGTATACCTATTTAATATACCTATACAACCTGGGGTCACATAAAAATTTCACAGGCAAAAAAGGGTTGCAAGCAAATCTAGCTCATTTGGCATTTTCTGCAATTACAGAAAATCTTCCGTTCAGCTTAACTGATACCCCTGTCTGTCCTTGACCGACCTTGATTTAGAAATGTTCTCTATGCTGGCCATTCTACAACTTGACCCTGACAGTACCCAACCTTGAAATTGCGTAGTTGGTTGTTGTCTCATCTCCTTCTTGACCAGATCCAGAAAGTGGGGTTGTTAAATCGCTTTGGAAGTAGGGTTGTTGATTGCCCTGGGAACTTGAGAAGAGTAGTATCTCAAAGGAACAAAAAGCTATACATTTCTGGGGAGAGCCAAAACTTTAAACTAAACAGCAGCACAGCTGTCCTTAAAACAATGTTTTGTTCTAGCTTGCTTTGGAGATGGCTGTAAATGCTGGTCCACTATTAAGCAGTTCTTCTATACTTCCCCTTTAAATTGTTTAATTTTTTTCTCAACTCCTCACACATCCTAAGGTTTTTGGATAGGGCACTCTAAATCAAAGTAAAAAAAATTCAATCCTATGACACCTGCTTGCTTGCCTTCTTAATATTCTGTCAAAGCACTCGGGAGAAGTCGGTGTGTCACACTTTGAAATCAATTAGTATATAATGACTGACTTCCAGGAGAGAGAGAAATGGAATTATAAAAATAATTTTAGAAGTGTTATTTTTGGAGCATGCATTCATTTACTCTGCTGAATGAAATCTAACTTGGAAATGGCAAGAGATGAAATGGGAAAAAAAATCATACTTGCCTCCCGGACGTGGTTTTAATATTAAATCCATGACTTCATTCCAATTATTCTGTAGAATAGCTCTAAAATTAAAAGAACATTTATTTAACATTGAATGTTAGAAGAAAGTACCTATAACAGTGTACCAAAAGAAATTAGAGTCTCATTTAAAGCTGGGAAATAGAAGGTGATTGAAAGCTGTATTCACACTTCTACTTCAAAGTCAGTTGATACTGAAATCAGCAGAACTTACTTGTATGCAAAACTATTAGATACTAGCCATCCCCTGTCACAAATTGCTGTGGCCCAGTCTGTGTATGTGTTTTGTGTGTGTATATATTTGTGTATATATGTATATGTGTATTTGTCAGAGATTGTAGTCCAGCCGTTCCAGTTTCTCCACCAGCAACACCTCCGAGTCAGCTGGGTCAATTCCGGTTCTGGTCACCAAGCTTTCAGGTCTGGATCAATAGCAATTCCAAGTTACTGGGTGTCAGGGCCCATAACCAGACTGTCAGAGATTGACGATGCCCAGCGGAAGGAATGCTAGATCAAACAGACACTGACTTGCAAATAAGGACTCTGCAAGGTTTGAGTTACAAAAGAATACTAAGTTTTACTAAGCACACACAGCAAACACATCTTTCTCTAGCGAGCGACATTCAGGAAGAGAACTAGTCAAAACCAAAAGCCAAAACACTTCTTCACATCTGCTTATCTTCTCTTGCTAGAGGCTGGCAACTCCCTTCAGTTTCTCACCAGAACAAAGCTTATCTCACTTTCTCAAGTTCACTTAATCACAGCCTCAATTCTAAACATTTCTGCACAGCATTTTCAATTCACAGTGGCATCCATCTTTGCAATACATAGAAGCACATTTAAAACACATACATAACTCAATTAATCCTGACAGTATTTGCGTATATATGTGTGTGGTTTTGCGCATGCGTGGTAATGTAATTTTTGTTTTTTGACTTTTAAATTCCCTTCTACTGTGTTTTTCAGTGTTTTATGAGTGATGGTCACTCATTGGCCTGATGGGTGTATTGAGTCCAAATTTGGTGTCAATTCGTCCAGTGGTTTTTGAGTTATGTTAATCCCACAAACGAACTTTACATTTTTATTTATACAAATTGAGATTTATTTAAAAACATGAGGATAGGGTTGTTATGCATACATGTTGAAAGGCCAAAACATTATAAACAACATTTTTGGTTCAAAGCATCTTATAATGAAGCAAATGTATCTGCTCAAATATAAGTCTTTCCAAGTTCAATGAGTTTTCTCCCAGGGAAATTTACGTAGGATTGCAACCCATGTTGCCTAATAATTGTTGTTCAGAAATATGGCAATATCTTAAGACAGTTGAGGCAATACAGAAGAATGTGTGGAAACATAGGGGTGTTGTTTTGTGTTGTCATGTGTGCCGGTGAAAGCATTTAATTTCGTTGAACAATGTACAATGACAATGAAGTTATAATATATTAAAAGCAGGATGCAATCAAAGGACCGTTGGCCTGCTGGACCATTGGATATTAGCCCTGAATTAGGCCACAGAAAAGAAGCTTCAATTGGCACCAATGGAAATTCCCCTCCTACCAAATCTTCATTTATCCAGGGGATTTCTAGAAGGGATATCTATGACCATCCCTCACGTCTCCCAAAAGGGTACCCATGAGGGCTTGAATCCCTCAACATAAAAAAATCCCACCCTGGGTTAAAGGGTACTATTATTTGTGAAAGAAAATGGAGAAATGCACTCACAGGTCAAATACATATAACATGAGGCAACTGAGCTCTTCTTGCTCCTCTCAGCTAATACAATTTCTTGAAAAAGCAAGAGCCAACCAAGACTGCTTTGCTTTTCACTGGTTCTGTAATTTCATCCTGGGCTCAAAAAGACCAGGGAACCATAGCTGCTCAAAGGATCCTGTTCTGATAATAGAAGAGAAGGCCTCTGAAGGAGGTTAAGGAAGCTTACATTCAATTATCAATATATTTCAGAACAATGCCAAATACAAGATGTGTAATTCTATCCATTTTGGAAGCATTTGTGTCATACACTCTTAGTCATAATATGCAAAATAAAAGCAAGGTACCTTCCAACTTGATATGTAGGTATAGCTGTGGTTCCAAATCTTTGCATTCCATAGTAGTTAATGAATCCTATTTCTTTGAGAGACTGCATAGCATGCTGAACTTGCTCATCAGTTCCTGTTATATTTCTGAGTGGAAAAAAAAACATGGACACATTTTTCCATTTTAAGCATGAAAAAGATCAAGCAAACCATGGCAATCCTATTCATTTTAAGCAATCATCATCATCTATCTATATATATAAAAATGCTCTGTGCATAATGAGTACCTTAAAAACAAAAGAACCAATGAACGAAATCACACCAAATTTGGCAACAAAACGTCTCACAACACAAGGAGTGACCATCACTTGAAAAATTATGATTTTGTCATTTGGGAGTTGTAGTTGCTGGGATTTATAATTCAACTACAATCAAAGAGCATTCCGAACTCCATCAACGATGGAATTGAACCAAACTTGGCACACAGAACTCCCATGACCAACAGAAAATGCTAGAACTGCATTTTCTGTACCTTGAGTTTGGGAGTTGTAGTTCACCTACATCCAGAGAGCACTCAAACAATGATGGATCTGGACCAAACTTGGTACAAGCACTCAATACACCCAAATATGAACACAGATGGAGTTTGGGTAAAGTAGACCTTGACATTTGGGAGTTGTAGGCACTGGGATTCACAGTTCACCTACAATTAAAGAGCATTCTGAACCACACAAACGAGAGAATTGGGGAAAACTTCCTACACAGAACTCCCATGACCAACAGAAATTACTTAAGGCCATCTAGTCCAACTACCTTCACCAGGGCAAGAAAACGTTATCAAAGCCTTACTGACAAAGAGTCATCCAGTCATAGATATAGATAGATATATATGATTCACACACGCACAGATATAGTATCATAGATTTGAAAGGGACCCTTAAAGAAGGACAATTATATGTTGCATGTTCCAGAGTAGGCAAACCAGACACTCTCCATGTCAACACTGACAAAGAAACAGCAAGAAATACTGTTTACCCACAAGCATCAAGGCATTACATATATTAGAAACCAACATTTTCTCATTACTTTATTTTCCTGATCACTAGACTGGGCCACAGCAACGCGTGGCAGGGGACAGCTAGTTTTATATATATTTTGTCTTTTTCTCTGGACCAGGACTCAAGGTGGCTTATAAGATAGTAAGAAATACAACCATAACCAAAATTCACAAAACAGTGTCACCATTACTGGGCTTGAATGATGGACTTTGTTGTATTTTGCTTCATTACAACATGGCTACTTCTGAATAGGTTTCCTGGATTTCAAGATACAAAATGTAACTGCAACAGGGAGATCTTTAACCAGCAAGAGCCTGAGACTTAACTCTTTGAGGTTTTCTACCTCCAACAAAACCCGTTCATTTAGACCATTTCATTGGTAATTTTTATTTATAAAGCACTTATTTTTTCCAGATGTAACAATACAGAGACTGCTTAATAAATTTGATGTTCTCTGCCTAAGAAAGGGCAGCTAGCCTCACAAGCCTTTAGTTGTAACACTAGCCATGCTTGCTTAGGAATAAGACAGCTGGGTAACTTGCTTCTGGAAAAACAACGAAAGTTTCAAATAACTAATTCTGACTACACCCATCTTCTCAGTCCCATTTCAGCACTTGACTTTTCACTATATATTTTCAAACTGCCACCTTTCCCCACTAATAAGGGATCGGTAGGAACATTAAAAAGAACAATGAAACTCAACATAATCTGTATTCAACCCAATTTGTTTAAAGCAAACATGGGGAACATATGGGTGCTTCAGTACAGGCTGGATTTCAATTCCCATCAATGGGATTTGCAGTTTAGCTTATGGGTAAGGATAATGGAAATTGCTACCCAACATCTGGAGGTCCACAAGATGCTCCCCTGTTTCCAAGAGCAACTCAATCTGCCATATTCCTAACATTGAAGGACAACTGAAAATCTTGATAACTCTACCACAATCTAAGAATCTTTCTTGTTTAGTGATATTTTGGACAAAGAAAAGGTGCAACATTTATTTTGTTGAAAAATTATTACAATAAAATTCCCTCTTTCATTGGAATGTTCCTCATGTAAATTCACTGGAAAAGAACAGAACACATGAGAGTTGGTAACAATAACCACAGCACTGAAATATTGCATTTTTACCTGAGAACCACAGTAAAGTGATTTCCTTGCAATTCTCCCAACTTCAGCGGATGGTTCTTGTAACTAAAGTTTCCAAGCTTGAAATTCATCAGGCATTTATTTAAGTGTGCTAATCTTTGTGCAGTAATTCTGTACACAAAAAGAGAGGGAGACAATAATAATAATATTAATAATCATTATGATGATGATAATGCTTTATTTATACACCACCCTCTCCCCAAGGAGTCTCAGGATGGTTTACACACAAAAAGGCAAACATTCAATGCACTCAAATACAAACATTTAAAAATAGAATAGTACAAAAATAATAACCACCAGACAGGCCCCTAGGCAGGATTTTTAACCGGGGGGAGGGGGGGCTGAGTTTGATTCCGGGGGAAGGGGGCTCAGGATCTACACTAGCAAACCTTTTGTATCATTATCCCAATCCCCCCATGCATATGGGATATGTTGAGCATGGTGATCAGATCATGAGATGAATAAATATAACAGTTTAAATAATGTACCAGTAAGGCCTTCTCGCGGACCACCCTGAGAATTTCGGGGCAGGATGAAGCCCCTCAGGCCTCCCCCCCCCCCCCCCCCCCCCCGGCTACAGGCCTGCCACCTGATAACCAATGCTATCCAGATTTCACAAGAAATAGAGTCACCACAGAGAAAAAAACTGGCTAGTAATTACTGTCCCAGTATGGACATCTCACCACAACATGGCTTAGGGGAAGTTACTTTTTCCAACCACAGCTCTCACAATTCTCTTGTCAGCATAACTAGTGGTTTGGAGAAAGTAAGATTTCTATGCTCTGGATTGAATCGCAGTGTGACGACGTCATCATCATCATCATCATCATCATCATCATCATCATATTTATTTATCCCCTGTATCTCTCCCGAAGGGAACTCAAAGCAGCTTAACATAAAAGCACCAGTATACAATTTAAAATATACAATTATGCAAACATTAAAACAGAATAAAATATAAACAGTATTTAACATTTCAGTTAAAAGCCATTAAAACATGATGAGAACAAATTCAGCAAACACCAAGAATAATAATAACAACAATTTCAAAAGGAAAATATACACATAAGTCCAACTGAAAATAGTGTATGGGTGTGTAAGACAATTTTAAATGGCTAATTGTATAACATGATCTTTGTTCCTGGGTTATAAATGTCATTTTCTAATTGGTTGTATCATACAAACATGGAAAAAATTTATTACACTGCAAAAACTTTTTTCGGGGCATCGTGCAGCACATTCTGCTATAGTTTTTCAATGAATATCTTTTAGAGTCTCAACCAACTCATCAGTTCGTGGCAGCCACAAAAACAAAGTTTCTGGAGTAGAACAACTACTTTCAAAGTAAGCACCAGGCAATTAAACAGGAAATAACACTTTCAAACCAGGAACAGATTTTTTTCAATTTTTTTTTTTTTACATAGTGAAACACAGAAGAACAGCCTTGAGTATTTCTGTGCTTCCTGCAGGGAAACTCAGCCATTTCAACAGAGTTTCACCTTTGGAACATATTACATCTGCAGTTGATGGAACTAGCACCAGTTTCTCCTTTGTATCCAAATTGATCCTCACATTGCATGGACTTTCAAAACATATTCTGTATCGATTGCCATTAGCTCAACTTGCCAAGCACACAGTGATGTAATAAGAAGTAGAAGAAAATAATGCTGGAACCTTATCATGATTTTTAGCAGTCATCTCATCATATCATTTAATACCTACCTCCTCAAATTAGAGTTTTGGTTTCGGAATCTGCTATCCAATGTAATTACTATTATTTATTATTATATTTATTTATACCCCGCTTTATCTCCCCTGTAGGAGACTCAAAGTGGCTTAACATAAAACCATCATCATAACCATTTAAAATATACAAACATTAAAACAGAATTAAATATAGACAGTATTTTTTACAAAAATAAACAATCAATGGTGCCTTAGAATCCATGAAAGATGGTATTTGTTGCACCCCAGAGTAGGAACAGGACCCTCTCTAATCATTAAATACACCACACCTTGGATGAAAGAAGAGTCAACTTTATTTGAAGAATAATTGGAGCCAATAAAAGAGACGAATATAAAGCTGATAAAAGTCCCATAGCAAAAAGCCGTAACACAAACAGTGTCCAAACATAGGAATAACAACAGAGTTTCAAAAGCTTGCTGGAATAATCCAGATGCAATGAAATATCAAATGCCTTCAATAAAAACCATGAATATAGCCACTGCTAAATTACTAGAAAAGCCAGGAAGTCTTGGAGACGAGGACACAGGAATATCCAAAAGACTTGACTTGACACTAAACGATGCCTGGTCTGAAGGAAATTCCCTAAGAGCTCAATTTAAATCCCAGAAACTGATTTCTACTCCCTCCACTCTTTGACCTTAATTGCCAATTTCTTTCTGACCTGCGTAAACATTGGGCCTCTCTATGGCTCTGGCTAATTTCCAGCTGGCAACTGATCTTATCTATCTCTTCATTAACAGCAGGTGTGAAACTATCTTGCAGACTCGAGTCTGGAGAAGGGAGTGAACTTTCCTGCAAACTCGAGCCTGGAATTTTCTCATGAGAACTTAGCCTTTCCCCTGACCCTTCTCGATCAGAGTCTGTAGTTACCTTATTGTCCAAAGTGTCTCCATTTTGCACCTCATCCTCATTGACATCCAAGACAGGCTCAGAAACATTAGAAGGGAAAAACACTATAACAGATTCAGGGTGAAACACAGTCTGAGTCCCAACAGTATTGTGTTACAGATATTCACAAATTGTTAAGAAAAAAAAGGTATTTTAACCAGATAATCACATTTCTTCAACTGGGTTCCTCTTACCTGAGAACAGCAATCTCTTGAACAGTAATAGCTCTTTTGTCTTTTGTTCCCATGTAGGAAAATATGTTTGGCTTAACTCTAAAAGAAAGAAAAAACCACAGTTTATCTCTAGCAAAACAGCTCGGGAAAAGTGTAAAAGTGTGTATTAAATGTTTAACTAAACAGCATTTTATTTCAATCATGTACTGCAGAAATCAAAGATAAAACTGTTTATGGAAACCATAGCAGCAACTTGATCTCTCAGCTTAAGTCTAACAATGCTAAAGCTACTAATGGTGCTACGCATCAAAAATGCCATTTTTTAAATGAGAGAACCCTTCTGTAGGTATCTCTAGATCCTCCAGGATGACTCTATGGTAAACGTCCAGCAGAAGTTGACCCATAAAGTTGTACTGGAGGAGCTAGAGATTCCTAGAGAGGAGGAGGAGGAGGAGGAGGAGGAGGAGGAGGAAGAAGAAGAAGAAGAAGAAGAAGAAGAAGAAGAAGAACAACAACAACAACAACAACAACAACAACAACAACAACAACTTTATTTTTCTATCCCGCCTCCATCTCCCCGAAGGGACTCGGTGGCTTACATGGGGCCCAAGCTCAGGCAGAATACAATTAAAATAAAGCAATAACAATTAAAACAGCATAAAACAACATAACAAAATTAGCTAGCAACAACAATAACAGCAGACTAATTTTGGAGGGGGGGAGGAAAACCACTACGTGAACTAGTTAAAGGATAAAGTAGTTTAGTAAGGTAGATGACAATGTATAAAGGCATAGGAAAAATCATGGAAACAGAGCAAATTAACAGGATCAGTTAATATAATATAGGACATCAGACTGAATGACAGTTCAAGTCATGATACAGGCCATTTGTCATAGGAGTCGTCAATTGAAAGCACGACGAAACATCCACGTCTTTAATTCCTTGTGGAATGTGGCCAGGGAGGGTGCCAGCCTAATTTCTCTGGGGAGGGAGTTCCAGAGATGGGGGGACACCACTGAGAATGCCCTCTCTCTCATCCCCACCAACCGTGCCTGAGACGGGGACAGGAGCGAGAGAAGGGCATCCCCGGAAGATCTTAAGGACCACGTGGGCTCGTAAGGGAGGAGGCGGTCACGCAGATAGGCAGGTCCTGAACCATTTGGAGATATTATTATTATTATTACCTTTATTTATACCTTGTCCTTCTCCCCATGGGGACTCAAGGCGGCTAACAGTCCCACACTTAGTCATTTGTAATAATACCCAGTGAATTATCAAAACTGAAAAAAAGTCAAACCTGAAAATGTGGAGGGCCAACTGTATATCTATGCAGTTCACAAGTCATTTCAAAAGTGACTTAATATAAAAGAAGTCATAATATTCTTAATGTGCTGCAAACACATTTCAAAGCAGGAGACGTGTGCATCTGCCACAAGCCATTTCTCAGCTTTAAATTACCTCCCATCGCTAAAACGTTAACCTACCTTAAAAATTTCGACAGCATATTGATAGCATCCATGGTATCCTTGTTTTCTTTGTATAATACAAAGTGGCAGTAACTTCCCCTAGATTTCGGCCAAGAATGTTTTCTTGGATCTTAAAAGACAAAAACGTTAAAACATATACATTACAGGAATTACAAAATAGTCTGTTCTTCTCCACTGAGTAATTTCTGCAATTGGACTACATAGCACACAAAGCCAGATCATAATTTGGCATCACATGGCCAAGTTTCAGGCTTACATGCCTCTTTCCTCTCATCATTAAATTCCAATGTTCCAATTGCTCTTGCAATACCACACCATGGTTTCACATTACAAATGAATTAACTCATCCTCGTCACTCAGCCTAACTGTAATCTGAGATAAAACACCCACAAAAAAGCCATGAGAAGTTACATTTTTTCATCACATGATGACGGAAACTATTGTCTTGTGCTTAATGATGCCATCGTTAAGTATGTTCAATACAACTAAAAAACAGATAGAAACTACATGGAAACTATGGCTTGAATGTGAATATATATTCACAATCAAATTGTAGTTTATGTGTCCTTTTAGATGCAAATATGTCCTTTTGTCTTTGAATGCCTACTCTCCATTATTATTATTATTATTATTATTAGTCACCTGGCATTTCATATAAAACTGGATATTTAATATTGAGAATCATATGAGTAGGGTTAAAATTCTCTCTAAAAACAGAGAGTGAGCATATTTAGGATTGTCTCCAAATTACTTTGGTTTAGTTGTACTATAAAATTCTTCATATCGAAGAGGCTTTCTGTGTAAAGATTATGAGGACTAGAGATATTTACTGAGGACTAACTTTTGTCGTAATTTAATCCTCGGATGAACTTTTTTGTTTTGTTTTCCTGAACTTAAAATCCATTGCAGGCTTGTCAAAAGAAAAACCCAGTGAAAATGTGGGGTTTACTCCTGGGTAAACGATGATAGGAAAGAGCTACAGACATATTTTGTTTTAGACAAGACTGTTTTGTTTTAATGATTGTTTTATTGTTTGTGGATGCATTGTTTTAACTCGATTTATGTTTAATTGTGGTGTATAATTGTAATTGTTTGTACTGGCATTGAATTTTGCCATTACTTATGTGGAAACCGCTTTGAGTCCCCCTCGGGGTGAGAAAAACGGTATACAAATACTGTAAATAATAATAATAATAATAATAAATAATAAAATATTTGTTACCTTTCTCATTCCCACCACCCACCCTCCAAAAATTGTTAAGCTGGTCTGAATTATATCCAATTTGATTGACATTTCATTTTCTCCTAACATGGAATGCCAACATGTTGAAGTTTTGACCTCTTACCTGTTGAAGTTCTGACCTCTGTTCATATGCATAGGATAAAGAGCATAAGAAAGCAATATTTTATTTTATTTTATTTTAGAGTTAGCAAAGTGGTTTGTATGGGAGCATGCAATTTAATAGTTTATATGTCAAAGATGTCTGGAGCATTCAATGGTTAATGTGACAACTGACATCTATTCACACAATGGTGCAATGGAATCGTGCAGAATAAATGAATTTAAGGTTTCAGATAAACACGCAACAAACTACACTGTGTGCTATATCACAAAGAACTCCTAATAAATAAATGTGTTTAGAATAAACACACCTTCCAATTCCTCATTTTAAACCTAATTAATTGGGATTTAAGGACTGGTACAAGGAACCCACTTCCACAAAGAAATCTGTTCATACGCAATGAACAACATACAACCAACATTCACATATATAATACATAACGGGACAGGGGAATGTTTGAAGAATTGCTGTCAGATGTTTTATAGCATCATCTCTCCTAATGCAAACCATGCATTTTTTTCTTCCAACAGTAGAACAGGTGAGAGAACAAGCACAGTTTATTTTGCACCTGAAAACAGGCATGCTCCATGCACAATGCATGCAAACATTAATAGTCTTTATATAGCCAGTGCAATTCAAATTACATTTTCAACTTGATCTTTAGTATTGTATTTTGAATCATTATTACCCTGAAAGAGATAGCTGAAGCTACAAAATCTCAAGGTTTAGCAAGAAAACAGAATACTGAGCAGAGCCCTAAATTTTGAAACACCTAATTCCCTATCATCGGAGTCAACTTTTCCGTTCAGTTCCTCATATAAACAAGCTTTGAAAAGTCAAATATATTTTGCAAAAAACTTTATTTATATCCCACACCATCCCCCAATGGGGACTCAGGGCAACTATCTCAGCACACTACAAAGCCACTTCCATTTCACAGGTTTCAGGTAATAAACTCACTTGCCAGTGCCTTTTTCCCAGCTGCATGGTAAGCAACAATATATTTTTTTCCATCCCGATCTTCTGTTTTAGTCTCTAATCCGGGAAACAGAGACTTCACAGCCTGGTGTATGACTGTCCTTTTTTCTTTAGTATCTTCAATGACCTAAGCAGAAGCATAGTAAGAAAATACACACACACACACAAATCATTTCTCTTCCTAAACTTCACGTGTCTATTGTACGAGGGGTATTTTTTAAGTAAGGTCCATTGGAACATAAGTACACAACAAAAGTTTATTTCAAAAAAGTAAATTTATTTTCAAAAAGTACATACTTCACTCTATTTTTTGACATAGTTGCCAAGTTTGTTCAAACACTTATCATACCTCTGAACCAATTTTAAAATACCCTCTTCATAAAAACTTGCTGCCTGCTCCGATAACCAAATTGTCTGTAATCAAAGAAGGGCGACCGGAGTGGTCCTCATCATGGACGTTGTCACGGCCATCTTTGAATTGTCATACCTACTTACGCACTTTGCTTTCACTCATAACAGTATCACCGTACACTTCAGAAATCTGTCGATGAATTTCTGCAGCAGGCAGGTTCCTTGCTGACAAAAACCGTATCACTGAGCAAACCACATGCGGCGGGTGAGTTGATAGTCTTAAACATTTTTAAAGCTCAGAACAGAACCATACAGGTTAGCTACGGAGCGGAAACTAAGCACAGTTGTTCCCAAGGCATGCCGGTACACGACGCATGCGCTCGTTGCGGTATGCGAGCGAACTACTAGTGTCTACAACAAAACGGACCTTACGTTAAAAATACCCCTCGTACTTGAAAAACAGGTGAGAATTCTGAAGCAAAACCAAAACTAAGAGGGTGAAGTGAGAGGCTATATCTGTTTTCTCCTTCCCCACAGGGTCAAATAGATTGCAAAGGTTCTGCTTAATGCAATATCACTGCCAGCAAAACTTAGGACATTCACCTCCCATCTCAGAGTCAGTCATGACTGCCTAAAATGCCACAGACAAAGCCAAGTTAGAAGCAAAGCATTAAAAGATTATTTTTTTATTACAGCACCTATAATTTTTCACCCAGTGTGGTCACCAGACAGGCTGGCTGGATATAGTGCCCATAGCAAGTTGTCAGCAATCTGATTTGAACGCTGTCACTGAAATTCTAGTCCATTTTTTTTTAACTTTCTAGAGAAAAAAATTCTTACAGCAGTTCGTCTCTGCAGCTTGAAATGTTACAATCCAGAAAGAGCCTTACACCTAAATCAGAGTTGTTTCATTTCTCCCCTAGGGACTGTTGGGACAAATAGTATAATTTTCTCGTCTACATGTACTTTTTTTAAAGTGAAAACTCAGGGCCCTTCCACACAACCATATATCCCAGAATATCAAGGCAGAAAATCCCACAATATCTGCTTTGAACTGGGCTATCTGAGTTCACACTGCCATAATTTCCAGAACATGTGTGATTTCATTCAACTGTGTGGAAGGGGCCTTAAATTTAACTTTCCTGCCACAGTGCAATTTTTCTAACAGAGGAGATTACATTTAATCCTATTTGTATAATCCTTTAAAATGGTCAGAAAATCAATACAAAGCACAAAGGTATCATTTAAGTAAGCAGAAGAGCAAATTTCTTAAGACAAAAACCATATTCCTTCTCCTGTGTTCAGATTTATTCATATAGTTTCTAAGGCCCCTTCTACACTGCCATATAATCCGGATTATCAAAGCAGATAATTATCTGCTTTGAATTGGATTATCTGAGTCTACACTGCCATATAATCTAGTTCAATCTTGATCTAAGGCCCCTTCTACATATTTTATTATATGACAGTGTAGAAGGGGCCTTAGATCAATGTCTAACATAGACAGTATCATCTTGACCACAAATTAATGCAAATTGTTTAAACATCGCTTTTATATCAGGCTTGCACTTAGCAAATGCATGATCATGACATCATCATCCAAAACAATTTGGTCCCTTTATATTCCTTTTTGCTAGATATCAATTTGGTTATTCATTCCTTATATGCTATTGTCAAGTTACCTCAATGGACACGCTGCCTTCTTTATTTTTAAAAAGCTGCAGTTCTTCTAACCGCTGCTTGTCCTCAACTGATAAAACTGTAAAATTCTCTTCTGGAGGATCCTAATAGGTACAATAAAATACATAAAGGGGTAAATCCAAATCCAAACATAAACTAATATTTTTGCTAAGGCTCTGATAATTACTGTCTAGTACAGGGGTCCTCAAACTTTTTAAACAGAGGGCCAGGTCACAGTCCCTCAAACTGTTGGAGGGCCGGATTATAATTTGAAAAAAACATGAATGAATTCCTATTCACATTGCATATATCTTATTTATAGTGCAAAAAACACTTAAAACTATGCCATAATTAAAATGAAGAACAATTTTAATAAATATAAACTTATTAGTGTTTCAATAGGAAGTGTGGGCCTGGTTTTGGCTGATGAGATAGGATTGTTGTTGTTGTGTGCTTTCAAGTCATTTCAGACTTAGGTTGACCCTGAGCAAGGGCCGGGTAAATGACCTTGGAGGACTGTATCCGGCCCTCGGGCCTTAGTTTGAGGACCCCTGGTCTAGTAAAATATCAAAATTAGGCAAAGAAAACTCACCTCCTCATCCACCGGCACAGAGAAGTCGTCTAAATGAATGGTATGTCCATCTTTTCCTATTTCATGCACAACAAAATCTGAATATCTAGCAGGAGACAAGACAGGTCAGTTGTTATTAAGCCAAGAAGATTAAAAAAAGGGGGAAATAGCTGCACATATTTATTTCAGCTCCTTGAAGACAAAGTGGGGAAAAACATTTACCAAATACTAAGGTCATGGTGATTATGTGGAAAAGTGAATAGTGGTAGTTAAAGAGCACATTCCAAGGATTATTTCTGCGTTTGATTTATTAAAATGGTTCCATCCAAACCCAAGTAATGAAGGTGGAAGCATTACTTTTCATTCAACCCTCGTATATGCGCAGGTATTTAAAAATTGTGGATAAAGATTAAGATTAAGTCAAATATTTCATCCAAGATGTGAGCTTTGAGAAGGGATCGCAGCAGCAAGGTTGCAATGCTAAGCATTCTTCCTGGGAAGGAAGTCCCGCCATTCCCATAAGAACCTGGTTTTGATTGAACTATAAATACAGTGGGGCTTTGGTAGTTTGGATACTAAAATCCACCAATGCTCAAGCTTCACTACATACAATTGCATAATAAAATGTTATCCCTTATATAAAATGGCAAAATCAAGGTTTAGATTTTTTTCAAGTTGTGGATAATTCATGGATGTAGAATCTGTGGATATGGAAAGTTAAAGAAACCAAATAGGGAGAGCTAGCTAATTCATCATGTCATTTTAGGCACAGAGCCACATTCCACTTGAAACAGTAAAACTCATTTCACATAGCCAATCCTTATATTCAGCTGTCAGTATCAGTAATTACCTCTCTTTTAATATTCCAGAAAAGCCCTTGTGAGCACTAACAAATTTTGTTATGCCAACATCTAGTTCTGTCAGCCCATGCTTCATCATGTCCGCAAAGCTCTCTGGCTCTCCGTCTCCCACACTTTCTTCTATTTCTTCTTCATCTTGTTGGTCTTCGCTCTCTTCATTCACTACCACTGTGTTTTTTGAATCGAGAACAGGTTTCTCAGGCCCCTCTGCTGCAGCGTCAGCCTTACAGTCAGAATTCACTTTTTCCTGCAGTGCATCTTCTGAGACCTTCTGCCGTTTAATTTCATCTGCACTGTCCTCTTTATCCTCAGAAAGAGGACGCTTTAGGTGTATGTTATCCGTTTCCATCATTTCCATCTTTGGCACAAAAAGGGCAGTAGAGAATCCTGCAGTGGGGTGGAGAGACACATATTTTGGCACAATTAATATATCACTCATGGTTTCACAATGTCAGGGATTGTCCCTGAAAAATATCGAAACCTCAACAAAAACTGAAGTAGGCGAAGGAATCTCATAATACCTTTGAGTCTCACTGGAATAACTTGGAAGCAAACTCAGGCAGGACGGTGAGGGCAAAAAAAAGGCCTTAGGTTTTTAAATCTTGCATGTTAATGTTTATATGTGATTTATTTAATTGTATTGTTGTTATTGTTATTGCTTTCTTGTTTATTGATGTGTTGTTGGGCTTGGCCTCATGTAAGCCGCTCCGAGTCCCTTGGGGAGATGGAGGCGGGGTATAAATAAAGTATTATTATTATTATTATTATTATTATTATTATTATTATTATTATTGCTGCCCGCTCACTGTAAAAATAGTCTTCCTTTCTAGTATTTTTTCCTCATATTTTTCAACAGTATTTGCATTATAGAGTTGTTGTTATTATTATTAACTCCCATGCTTTAACATCTACATGAAACCGCTGGGAGAGGTCATCCGGAGTTTTGGAGTTAGGTGCCACCTCTATGCAGATGACACACAACTCTACTACTCATTTCCACCCAATTCCAAGGAGGCCTCTCGGGTGCTGGACGAGTGCCTGGCCGCTGTGTCTATCTGGATGAGGAGGAACAAGCTGAAGATCAATCCTGACAAGATAGAGGACCTTCTGGTCGATCGCAAATCTGACGGGGGTATAGGGTGGCAACCTGTGTTGGACGGGGTTACACTCCCCCTGAAAACACAGGTCCGCAGTTTGGGAATCCTCCTGGACTCATCGCTTTCGCTTGAGGGTCTGGCGTCGGCGGTGTCTGGGAGGGCTTTCGCACAATTAAGACTCGTGCGCCAACTGCGACCGTACCTCGCGAAGGCTGATCTGGCCGGAGTGGTCCATGCCTTGGTCACCTCTAGGTTGGATTACTGTAATGCGCTCTACGTGGGGCTGCCCTTGAAAACGGCTCGGAAATTCCAACTTGTCCAACGAGCAGCGGCCAGGATGTTAACTGGTGCTCCTTACAGAGAGAGGTCAACCCTCCTGTTCAAGGAGCTCCACTGGCTGCCGTTTATTTACCGAGCCCAATTCAAGGTGCAGGTGCTTACCTACAAAGCCCTGAACAGTTTGGGACCAGGCTACCTGCGTGATCGCATCTCCGTCTACGAACCCACGCGCTCTCTTCGCTCATCTGGAGAGGCCCTGCTCATGATCCCACCTGCGTCGCAAGCGCGGTTGGTGGGGACACGAGACAGGGCCTTTTCCATGGTGGCCCTCCGACTCTGGAATACCCTCCCCAAAGATCTTAGACAGGCCCCTACATTGGCAGAAAGAACTTGAAGACCTGGCTGTTCCGATGTGCCTTCCCTGAATAGGAAACCTCCAATACCAAGTCCCATAAGCACTTTATTAAATTAAGAATGCCGCACACTGCACACTGCACCTGCCCTATTAGCCTTATAGTCCACCTGTCACACCAGCACTTTTTAACTCTTGTACCCATTACTCTGGCCCTGGCCCAGTTTTATTGCGTCTTAGTGCATTGTTTATTACTTGTTGTTTAGTTTGCTTAATTGTTTTTAATTTGCTTTATGTTTTGTATTAGTTATATTGTTGTGTGAGGCCTTGGCCTTTGTAAGCCGCATCGAGTCCTTCGGGAGATGCTAGCGGGGTACAAATAAAGTTTAATAATAATAATAATAATAATAATAATAATAATCTTTATTTGTACCCCGCTAACATCTCCCGAAGGACTTGGTGCAGCTTACAAGGCCAAGGCCCTCAATAAAACAACAGCATAACAAATACAACAATAAAACTCATAAAGCAAACCAATAAACATTAAAGCAATAACAGTAAAACATTAAAAACAATACATCATGACAAATTTAAAAACTAAGGGCCAGGCCAAATGTAATGAATAAAATTAAAAGTGCTGGGCATGACAAGTGAAATGTAAGGATCTTAGGGTAGGTGCGGTGTGCAGACAATCTTAAATCTCTAATAAAGTGCATTTGGGACATGATGCTAGGAGTTTCCTATTCTGGAAGGCACACTGGAACAGCCACGTCTTCAAGCTCTTCCTGAAGTCTGCCAACGTTGGAGCTTGTCTGATGTCCTTGGGGAGAGAGTTCCAGAGTCGGGCCACCACAGAGGAGGCCCTGTCCCTCGTCCCCACCAATCGCGCTTGCGACGCAGGTGGGATCGTAAGCAGGGCCTCTCCAGATGATCGAAGAGATCGTGTGGGTTCGTATACGGAGATACGGTCATGTAGGTAGGTGGGTCCCAAACCGTTTAGGGCTTTGTAGGTAAGCACCTGCAACTTGAATTGGGACCAGAAAATGAACGGCAGCCAATGGAGCTCCTTAAACAGGAGGGTTGACCTCTCTGTAAAGAGCACCAGTTAACATCCTAGCCACCGCCCGTTGGACCAATGGAAATTTCCGAGCCGTTTTCAAGGGCAGCCCCACGTAGAGCGCATTACAGTAGTCCAATCTAGAGGTGACCAAGGCATGGACCACCCCGGTCAGATCAGCCTTTACGAGGTACGGTCGCAGTTGGCGCATGAGTCTCAATTGTGCAAAAGCCCTCCCAGCCACCGCCGATGCCTGAGCCTCAAGCGTAACTGATGAGTGCAAGAGGACACCCAAACTGCGGACCTGTGACTTCAGGGGGAGTGTAATCCCGTCCAACACAGGTTGCCACCCTATACCCCGATCCGGTTTATGATCGACCAGGAGGACCTCTGTCTTGTCGGGATTGATCTTCAGCTTGTTCATCCTCATCCAGACAGCCACAGCGGTCAGGCACTCGTCCAGCACCCGAGGGGCTTCCTTGGAGTTAGGTGGAAAGGAGTAGTAGAGTTGTGTGTCATCTGCATAGAGATGGCACCCAACTCCAAAACTCCGGATGAGTTTCAAAGATACGCCATTATTTTGGTTAGCATAACACATTTTAGTTTCCAGACCCTAATTAAAGGGTCTCCTCTCTTTTTTTCCTTACCTCTAGCATTCATTTAGAGCAGGGGTCCTCAAAATAAGGCCCGGGGGCCAGATGCGGCCCTCCAAGGTCATTTACCTGGCCCTTGCTCGGGGTCAACCTAAGTATGTAATGACTTGAAAGCAAATAACAACAATCCTATCTCATCAGCCAAAAGCAGGCCCACACTTCCCATTGAAATACTAATAAGTTTATCTTTGTTAAAATTGTTCTTCATTTTAATTATTGTATTGTTTTTAAGTGTCTTTTGCACTACAAATAAGATATGTGCAGTGTGCATAGGAATTTATTCATTATTTTTTTCAAATTATAATCCGGCCCTCCAACAAGTTTGAGGGACTGTGACTTGGCCCTCTGTTTAAAAAGTTTGAGGACCCCTGATCTAGAGATTAATGAAGGAGATTTGGAAGGTTAATGTTAAAGAAAGGGAAGTGCTATTGTGATGATTATGATTATAAAATTCAATTTAAAAAAGTAAAAAATAGAGATCAATGAAGGAAAAGAAACCCTCCGGTATCCCAGAGGAAGTGAGCACACTGTCTGAGAAAGGAGGAGTGAAGAAACTTAATGCCCTGGAGGCAAATTATTGCCAAATCACTTTTTTGGAACACGGTGCAAGATTTGCAAAGGTCAGATAACATTAGATATCATGGAAAACCTCAATCAGAAGATATAAACAGTGATAAATGTTTTACACATTCAGTACTACAACAGAAGAACACATCTGGAAGTATAAATACTTTGTTAACACGTTCCTTTGTAGTCATGCAGAAAACACTTCATATTATCTTTTCAACCTGTAAATAAAGCTGTAGATGTTGAACTACACTAGCAAGTCTTGCCCATAGTGAGGAGGAATGCCGGGAGTTCCAGTATTAACACATACTGAAGGGATGCACAGTCCCCACTCTTGCTGCAAAATCATCTTATTTTCATTTAAGATATGGCCTGATTCCTTCACTATTTGTTTCTCTAGTTCTGTGGGATAATGAATTTCTGCTGTAGAAAACTAATGCATCAACATTAATGTGATATGGGAAAGGGATAAAATATCACTGAAATGTGTTAAAACATATATATATATAGAGTGAGAGAGAGGTATGTGTACAGCATACATGTTCTCAAGACTCCATCTGAACATGGATGATCTACGGATGGAACAAATCAAGAATTTTGGCCCAAAAGCAAGGCGCTGGCTGCTGGAGCTGATGAACAACTGCACTGCATCCTGTCAGATCCCCAAAATCTGGAGGAAAGCAAGAGTCATCACCATCTTGAAACCAGGCAAAGACCGTAATGATCCAAAAAGCCAATCTCCCTGTTGTGCCACCTTTACAAAGTCCTGGAGTGACTTATTTTGCATAGAATTATGGGAAAAAATAGATCCCTGTCTGATTCCACGGCAAGCTGGCTTCAGAAAAGGCAAAAGCTGCACATCGCAAGTGCTGAACCTGACTCAGCACATAGAAAATGGCTTTGAAAGGTAGCAGATCACAGGAGCTGTCTTCATAGACCTGTCAGCGGCTTATGATACTGTAAACCACCGCCTCCTCCTGAGAAAAATTTATAGTATCACAAAGGACTACCGTCTCACCTGCTTCATAGGAAACCTGCTACAAAACAGGACCTTTTTTGTTGAGTTCCAGGGCCAGAGAAGCAGATGGCAGAAAAAAAGAACGGCCTGCCTCAGGAAAGCATGCTTGCTCCATCCATGTTCAACATCTACACAAATGACCAGCCACTGCCAGAAGGGTCAGAGAGCTTCATCTATGCTGATGATCGTGCCATTACTGCTCAAGCAGGGAGCTTTGAGATGGTAGAACAGAAGCTCTCCGAAGCTCTAGGTGCTCTTACTGCCTATTACAGGGAAAACCAGCTGATCCCTAATCCATCTAAAACACAGACATGTGCTTTCCACCTTAAGAACAGACAAGCATCCCAAGCTTTGAGGATCACCTGGGAAGGAATCCCACTGGAGCATTGCAGCGTACCCAAATAAATACCTGGGAGCAACTCTGGACCGTGCTCTTACCTACAAGAAGCATTGCCTGAACATCAAGCAAAAAGTGGGTGTTAGAAACAATATCATACGAAAGCTGACTGGCACAACCTGGGGATCACAACCAGACACAGTGAAGACATCTGCCCTTGCGCTATGCTACTCTGCTGCTGAGTACGCATGTCCAGTGTGGAACACATCTCACCACACTAAAACAGTGGATGTGGCTCTTAATGAGACATGCCGCATTATCACAGGGTGTCTGCGCCCCACACCACTGGAGAAATTACACTGCCTAGCCGGTATTGCACCACCTGACATCCGCTGGGAAGTAGCAGCTAATAGTGAAAGGACCAAGGCAGTGACATCTCCAGCCGATCCCTTGTTTGGGTATCAACCTGCACATCAACGACTTAAATCATCCACTTCTCCTCCATTCTGCGAGAGGGGAGGAGGAAGTCTTTCATGACCCTCAGGCCCTTTCTACACTGCCAAATAAAATCCAGATGGCAGTGTAGACTAATATAATCCAGTTCAACTGCACATAATGTGGATTATCTGCTAAGATCTACAGAGACACTCGCTGGAACACCCCAGCAAGCAAGAGCCCAAAAGTGGCAGGCTCAAACCCAGAACCTCAATTAATGGCTGATACCCAATGAGAGACTCCCCCCTGGGCACACAGAAAACTGGGCGACTTGGAAGGCGCTAAACAGACTGCCCTCTGGCACCACGAGATGCAGAGCTAACCTTAAGAAATGGGGCCACAAAGTGGAATCCACGATATGCGAGTGTGGAGAAGAGCAAACTACAGACCACCTGCTGCAATGCAACCTGAGCCCTGCCACATGCACAATGGAGGATCTCCTTGCGGCAACACCAGAGGCACTCCAAGTGGCCAGATACTGGTCAAAGGACATTTAATCAACTACCAAATTTGCAAATTCTGTGTTTTGTCTGTTTGTTTGTTTAAAATGTAATAGAAATGTCTGGTTGCTGATGATATAATAAATAAAAATCTGAACATTAGGAAGAACTTCCTGACTGTGAGAGTTGTTCAGCAGTGGAACTCTCTGCCTCGGAGTGTGGTGGAGGCTCCTTCTTTGGAAGCTTTCAAACAGAGGCAGGATGGCCATCTGTCGGGGGTGCTTTGAATGCAATTTTCCTACTATTTGGCAGGGGGTTGGACTGGATGGCCCATGAGGTCTCTTCCAACTCTAGGATGCTATGATTCCTGGGCACTTCTGGCGGCCCTATGGATTCCACAGGCTTTCCTCAGAGCCCTCGCTATGCATTCAGCTCTCCTGCCCCCTCCGCAGCACTTACCCGGAGCCTCGGAAGGAGAAATGGCGAGAAGGAGAAGGCGGGCTGGAGGCGCATGGAGCGCTCTAGGCCTGCAACTCACCCTCCGCAACCTGAAGGATAGAAAGAGGAAGGAAGGAAACCAGGAAGGGGGAGTGGCCTCTCGAATCAGCCAATCAGCTGCAGCAGGCAGCGAGAGCACGTCACCCTCTCCTCCGCAACGCCCTGCAGGGGGCGCTCTTCCCCTGCCCGGTTTGCTGCCTTCTGCACGGCGGCGCCGGTCATTGGCTCGCTTGCAAGGGGGCGGAGCTTCCTGGATCCACTTTGGGCTAGGCTCATCGGATTAGCTCGTGAAGAACTCTGGGAAACGTAGTTTGGAAAAGCGGGGATCTCTCTAACCAAGACTTCTAAACGCCCTGCCGTAAACTACATTTCCCAGAGATCTGCAGGAGGCGGAAGACACCAAGGATGCAGGGGTGTCTGCTTTAAAACGCTATCCCTGATGTGGCTGTCATCAGTCCCTTGGCACTGACTACATGGAAAGTCATATGCTGTATTGAGGGAGGGGTTTTCTGAAGGGGGGGGGGTCATTTTTGCATATTATATCTATACCTATGTATATGTGTGTATATGTGTGTGTGTATATATGTAATACTTTTCTGATGGTTATGGGGATTCCATGTGGGAAGTTTGAGCCAATTCTATCGTTGCTGGAGTTCAGAATGTTCTTTGATTGTAATGAACTATAAATCCCAGCAACTACAACTCCCAAATGTCAAGATTCTATTTTCCCCAAACTCCACCAGTGTTCACATTTGGGCATATTGAGTATTCATGTAGAGTTTGGTCCAGATCCATCATTGTTTGAGTCCACAGTGATCTCTGGCTGGATGTAGGTGAACTACAACTCCAAAACCAAAGGACACTGCCCACCAAACCCTTCCAGTATTTTCTGTTGCTCATGAGAGAACTGTGTGCCAAGTTTGGTTCAATTCCATCGTTGGTGGGGTTCAGAATGCTCTGTGATTGTATTTATTTATTTATTTACTTTGCTTGTATACCGCAGTTTCTCAGCCCGTAGGCAACTCAACGCGGTTCACAACAAGAGCAAAAGTCAGTCCAACAACATACAATATTAAAACCATTAACAGTATAAAATACAAACTAATGACATCTCAATAACAACACATTAACGTCTCATAACTAAAATCATGATCCAATTCGTCATCCATAATTCTGTTTCCTATCTTCATCGTGTTCATTGCACTATTTATCCGAACGCCTGTTCAAACACATTTGGGAATATTGAGTCTTCATGTAGAGTTTGGTCCAGATCCATCATTGTTTGAGGCCACAGTGCTGTCTGGATGCAGGTGAACTACAACTCCAAAACCAAGGGACACTGCCCACCAAACCCTTCCGGTATTTTTTGTTGGTCATGTGAGAATTGTGTGCCAAGTTTGGTTCAATTCCATCGTTGGTGGGGTTCAGAATGTTCTTTGAATGTAAGTGAACTATAAATCCCAGCAACTACAACTCCCAAATTACAAAATCAATTTTTTGAGTGAAGGACATACATTGGGTTGTTAGGTGTCTTGTGTCCAAATTTGGTGTCAATTCGTCCATTACATTTTTATTTATATAGATAAAATATGTATAAAAATGCAATGTTCGTTTGTGTGATTAACATAACCCAAACACCACTGGACAACTTACCTCCAAATCTGGCCACAAGATACCTACTAACCCAAGGAGTGATCACCACAAAAAAAAATAATGATTTTGTCATTTGGGAGTTGTAGTTGCTGGGATTTATAGTTCACCTACAACCAAAGAGCATTTTGAACTCCACCAGTGATGGAATTGAATCAAACTTGGCACATGCACAAAACCATATATATATATATATATATATATATATATATATATATATATAATCCCTACAAACAAACATTACACACACACATAATATATATATTATCCCTACAAACAAACATTACACACATATACGTAATGTTTGTTTGTGGGAATAACAACTCAAAAACCACTGGACGAATTGCCGCCACATTTGGTCACAAGACACCTACGAACCCAAGGAGTGACCATTGCTTAAAAAAAATTTTGTCATTTGGGAGTTGTAGTTGCTGGGATTTATAGTTCACCTACAATCAAAGAGCATTCTGAACTCCACCAATGATGGAATTGGGCCAAACTTTGCACACAGTTCTCCCATGACCAACAGAAAAAACTGGAAGGGTTTGGTGGACATTGACCTTGAGTTTAGGAATGTAGTTCACCTACATCCAGAGAGCACTGTGGACTCATACAATGATGGATCTGGACTAAACTTGGCATGAATACTCAATACGCCCAATATGAATACTTGTGGAGTTTGGGGGAAATAGACCTTGACACTTGGGAGTTGTAGTTACTGGGATTTATAGTTCACCTACAATCAAAGAGCATTCTGAACCCCAACGACAGAAATAGGGCAAACTTCCACACAGAACCCCCATGACCAACAGAAAATACTTAAGGCCATCCAGTCAACTCTCTTCACCAGGGCAAGAAAATGTAATCAAAGCCCTCCTGACAAAGAGCCATCCACCCATAGATATAGATAGATAGATAGATAGATAGATAGATAGATAGATAGATAGATAGACAGATATGATTCGCACGCACACACAGATATAGTATCATAGATTTGAAAGGGACCCCTACAGAAGGGCAATGATATGTGGTATGTTCCTGAGTAGGCAAACCAGACAATCTCCACATCAACACTGACAAAGAAACAGCAAGAAATACTGTTTACCCACAAGCATAAAGAAATTACATATATTAGAAACCAACACTTTCTCATTACTTTATTTTCCAGATCAACAGACTGGGCCACAGCAATGTGTGGCAGGGGACAGTTACACACACACACACACACACATATATACGCACACACACGCATACGTAAATGCATATATACACAGACTTGGCCACAGCAACCAGTGGCAGTGGACAGCTAATATATATCATATGTATGTTTGTATGTATGTAGAGAGCACTATAACTCCCGCCAACAACGAATCTGGACCAAACTTGGTACACAGAACCCCCCCCCCCCCCACTACTCCCTTTAACTTCTGGTGGGGTTTGGGGTGGGAGTGGATGGAAGGACCCTGAGTGATGGGTGTTGCAGTACCTTGGCCCACATCCAGAGACTACTGCGAACCCCATCAGCCATGGATCTGCATCAAAACTGGTACACAAATCCCCTAAGACTCACTTTAAGTCCTGGTGGGGTTTGCAGCATTTTCACTTTAAATACTCACAGGGTTTGGGGAGAAATGACAGAGGATAATGGGACTTACAGCACACACACATCCTTATGCATTTTAATGGGTCCATTCATAACATCCAAAAACAATTCCCCTTTTTTTTCTTTTTTTGGTTTATCCTTACCAAATTATCTATGCCAGGCATTGCCGGGCACCCAAGCTAGTAGTTATATTTTCAAAAGGCATCCCATAGTATATGTATTTTTATCTTATCAAATGTATACATAACTACAAAAATATGTAAACAATAAAACATAAATATTACCACTAATAATAACACTATGTAACATGATTTTTGTTCCTGGGTTACAAATGCCATTTCCTAATTGGTTCTATCATAAAAACATGGGGAAAGGTTATTAAACTGCGAATACTTTGTTTTTGTGGATCGTCCTGCAGCACTTTTTGCTATAGTTTTTCAATGAATATCTCATCGAGTCTCAACCAATTCAACATAGTTTGTGGCAGCCACAAAAACGACGTTTCTGGAGGATAACAACTATCTTCAAAGTAAGGACTGTACAATTAAATGAGAAATCAGAAGCTCACTTTCAACCCAGGAACAGATTTTTTTTCACTTTTGTTACATAGTGTAATAATGAATACTATAAGTTACCTTAATTCATGCTACATAGGGGGGAAAAACCCAACAGGACAATTAAAGAGGGGAGAAAACAGGCTTCCAGTCCTCCCACACACAGTTAAGGTGGTTTATTTTACGTCCGAAATTTTCTTCCTGTAATACAGGTTGAGCTTCTCTTATCTGGAATTTCCGAAATCAGGAATGCAGTTGTGCCTCCGCATTTGCAATTTTGACTTTTATTATTATTTTAATTGCTATTTGTATTTATATCCCACTTCCTCTCTCCCAAAGTAGACTCAAGATGGATAACCGAATCATACAATATGTAAATTAAAACCCAAAGCATGCAAACATTACAATAGAATTAAACACAGGATGTATTAAGAAACACATAGGGACTTATTAAAAGTACATTTGATTATTCACAGATTTGATTTAAAGTGTTCTCTTTAGGAATCTTTAGATTGTTCAGTTGATCTAAAGTCATGCTGGAGGACCTTCTCAAACAGATCTAATTATGCATAAATTTGCAAAAATATGTACATTTATGCAAATGTAAGTGCTTCAAATTCCAAAACACTAATAGTGTCAAGCATTTCCTGTAAGGGATACTCAACCTGTACAAACTGCTTTTTAATTATTTGTCACACCAGTTAATATATGTGAGCTTCAACTTGATATGAATTCTACAATTCTTCAGACCCTGCTCCAATCATCTGCTCCAGTTGTCTCTAAAATATTTCACAGCCAGTTGCCAGCCTTGCTTAAACTTCTCTGTTGGGTAGTCCTGAATTATGTTGGTCAATCTGACCATCACTCAAAACATTATGATTTTGACATTTGGGAGTTGTAATTGCTGGGATTTATAGTTCACCTATAATCAAAGAGCATTCTGAACTCCACCAACAATGGAATTGAACCAAACTTGGCACACAGGACTCCCATGACCAACAGAAAATACTGAAAGGGTTTGGTGGGCATTGACCTTGAGTTTTGGAGTTGTAGTTCACCTACATCTAGAGAGCACTGTGGACTCAAACAATGATGGATCTGGACCAAACTTGGCACAAATACTCAATATGTCCCAATATAAACACAGATGCAGTTTGGGGAAATAGACCTTGACATTTGGGAGTTGTAGTTACTGGGATTTATAGTTCACCTACAATCAAGGAGTATTCCGAACCCCACCAACGATGGAATTGGGCCAAACATCCCACACAGAACCCCCACGACC